TCCTATTAGAACTCAAGTTACTCAGCGGAGTTGAGCTCGGAGTACTTGAGATTCGGCGATCTCCTGAACGAAAGACTTCTCTTTTTCGCCGTCCGAGTCACCGGACACATTCGCGTTGCCATTTACATTGAAACCTGGCAACCAGAGTCTCGGCTTGAAGCCGCGCGTACCTGAATAGAAGTTCTGGGTTTGCCACTTCAATATGGAATTGAGGGTACCAGAAGGTCCTGTCCACCCATGAAGCCGCGTAAACTAACACGCCAGTACTTACTACATAATTCGACCAAGATCTCCTCTGAGTCCTCCCTATCCCACCATCGAGTGTGATGCATTTACCTGTAGAGCTACAAGCATAGAGGATCCACTTTCAAGTTGGTCCACTGCATAAATTCGGCGGTAAGTAGCGCGGCGGAGCATGACAGAGAAGAGCTGATGAAGTGCCACCATCCTGCAAGCTTGCTCAAGCTGTAGAGCTGCATGATTAGGGCTACCTCGTTGCACCATGAAATCCAGACGTCAACACGTAACATTCCATAATTAACCCGCCACCTCTTTGGATCCATTGATTGGACTAGAGCCTTACTGCGCTCAAGATCATGAATTCGGAATTTCGAGCTTGTCCGAGTCGATGAAAGAGGTTGATTGGCTGACTAATACAAACACGTAACGTTCACCAAAAGCAGGTCAACAACCTCATGTGCTAACCTTTCGTCCGCCCGTCGCTTCAGCTACTCCAAAGTCCATCAAAGACCTACTTTTTACGATGTCCAGTGACGGAAATTTGTTTGTTCAGGTCGGTTCATATAATACAAACCTACAAGGCGGAGCTGGCGTGCCTCAGGATCTTGTCGATTGGCTCGTTCCAACACTCCAAGTAGCCTCTTTCCTCTCCAAGGAGCCTCGCGCACCAGATATTTTTGCGATCGGCTTCCAGGAACTTCTGCCCCTTCACCTTGGACGTATGTCGTCATGTTCGTACACCATCATTCTGACGTGACACATCCACCAAGTGGCTGGATTGTCCAAGGCTGTGATCGACGATAGGGACGCGCATATTCGTAGTCAGATTGAGAAGCATACTCCCGGCAAAGAGTCTTACACGCTCGTTGCGAAGGCTGTGAACGTTGGTGTCGCGCTTCTCGTGTATGCACGAGATAGTGGTGTCGCGCGCCGAGTTTGTGATGTGCAAACCCAATGGACCGGGACAGGCCCAGCTTACATGGGTAACAAAGGTGCTGTTGGCATACGTTTCCGCATATCAGACAGAGGGAGCAAAGCTGGAGAAGTTTTCACGTATGTTTCATGTTCATAATGGCTTGTGTCCCGAACAAACGCTTTCCAGGTTTGTGTGTGCTCACCTCACCGCACACGAGCCAAAGCTCGCTCGACGGGTCGCAGATTACCATCACATTGTTAGCACTCTTCTCTTCCCTCCACTACCGTCATCTCCTTCCTCTTCCCCGACTACCATGTATTCGACGTCACACCTATTCTTCCTCGGCGACCTCAACTTCCGTATAACAATACCGCCGTCACGTCCACATGTGCAAACTTCCCAACCCTATAATGTTCTTGCAATGTTGAAGGATGACGTATCTCGTGAACAGTTGAAGGAATTTGACCAACTTCTGAACCAGCGGAGGAAAGGGACGGCTTTCATCGGTCTGCGCGAGGGTCCATTCTGGACATTCAAATGCACATATAAATACAAGCTTGGAGAGGTCGACCGGTACAGGTGTGTCATTTTTTATCATGATTTTCTCCTGCTTACTCAACCTTGACAGCACTAAACGGACCCCATCTTGGACCGATAGGATAATGTATGCGACTCATACTGATTCCCCTGACACACCTGAGAAATCTAACATCACCAACATTTTGTACACATCAATACCGTCATACATTACGTCAGATCATGTAAGTTCTCATCACCATTTTACTTCGCATCTAATAGGTGAGCAGAAACCTGTCGTCTGCCTACTACTCCTTCCATCACCCACCGCTACATCGTCCCCCGAAACATGTGCACCTCCCATGCTCCGGTTGCCCTTATCGTACACGCCCACGCCTGATCCGCGTGCTACGCTGAAACGGTACACTGGCCGTACGCTTGATCGTATCATTGGGTCCATATGGTGGCTTCTCACAGTGGTTGGAGCCGGCTCAGCCATTGTTGGGATTTTTAACTTCTTTCTGGGGCTCGCCGCATGGAGATGGTGGAAAGCACCAGCTGTATCTATTGCCGATGCTGATACTTGAGCCAACGTTGATATAAATTATGAATATTCGAAGTGTTGACATTATGGATCACAGCCACCTATACTGTATAATTATCTATGTTGGCTTTTGAGTGTCACATCCTCCCGACTCTTCGTCCTCATCAATGTGAACAAGAGTATCCTCCCTAGTTATCGTAACATGGATCACTGGAACTGTACCTTCAACATCATCCTCGTTCGTAGGTGGGTGCACTAGTGCTAGCAAGATGAGAGAGATTATCATCAGCACCACGGTCAAAACAAAGATTGCACCAGGGAAGGTCGCGACGGTCTTAAAATACACAAAGCCAAACAATGCAGGACCCAAGATCTGAGAACTATATCGAATGCGTTAGAGCTCGAGTTGGCCAAAATTGACTTTCCTACCCGAGAGCTTGTACAACACTAATGGCGCCAAAAAGCCTTCCAGCTTCACCCTTTCCTCCTCTTTTGTTGTAAACATCGAGCGCGAATGCTTGGATAGCAGGCGAGTACCCGGCGCCCAGTGATTGCAAGATGGCTCCGGAGGCGAAGACGAGACCATTGGAAGCAAATATCATTACCACGAACGCAAGAATGTCAAGAACGACAGAGATTCGAGCGAGATTGAGATCAAATTTCGAAGAATGAGAGGGTGGTCTAGCGTTGTTTTGCCTACTTGGATGGGTCTGTGATGACAAGTTCTGAAGTGGCTCGTCCGGGGCAGTGGGGAGCTGCACGGGCGCCGGCTTCAGAAGCTTGATGATAACTAGGGGGATTGAATTCGTATTGAACAAAGGTGGGTACGAGTTATTGGTACAAACCAGGCAAGATGACAGCCAAGAACAGCGCACGGACAGCTCCAGTGAAGGCCACGTAGTAGCTAATCTAAAAGGTTGTCAGATCTAGTGACGACATCCTTGCGTTTTCTTACCGTTTCCGATGACCACTTGAAATTTGCTGCGACATACTGTAACATGCATGTCACCAGACCCTGTGGGAAAATTAAGTGTAAGTATTGGAGATACCACGAAGATATAATGGCGCCACACCATCAGAGACATCGTGAACCCATAGCTAGCAGCGATTAAGCATAAACTCCAGTCTCTCTTGGAGCGTTTGAGTGGGTTTCCGCCAACACTAATAGGCTCGGGCAGAAGAACTGCTAGAGGGCTGAAGAACATCATGGCACCCTTTAAGACGGATGCAACCCTCAGAGTGCCATCATTCCGCCTTTCAAGTGATGCCTGTCGTCTTTTCTGGGCGCCAAATGCTCTCGCTTTTGTTTGGGATTCGGGGATGATCAAAAACATGGAAGCAGCGTGCAGCGCATGGACAGTTGCAGCTAAATAAAACGTGGAAAGTGTCGAGCCCGTCGCCCGAATCAAGATGCCTCCAATGACAGGACCGAGGGCTACACCAACAAACATGGTGCCCAATGCCAGAGAAAACATACCAGATCTATCAATGATTATTTATTTGAGTAGAAAATAGGTGAATTTGCAACCCTACCGCTCAGAACGATGGGTACTGTCGGCGAGATAGGCATGTGAAGCCGCAATCCCGGTTGTCATCCCTTAAAATACGTTAAACACTGACCTATCTCGAATGACATGCTCTGACTTACCACCAACCATACCGTCTAATGCAAAACCGAGTATCAAGAACCAGTATCCGCCTGGGAGCCGTTCCACAAAGAATGCAGTGACGATGAAGATTAAATCATTAGCAAGCAAACCGAGCATCGAGATGCCCATGACTGATGTTCGGCCAAAACGGTCTGAGAGCTGGAGAGCGGGAGGTCACGGGAACATCAAAAAACATGAATGGAGTGACTTACCGAACCCCACCAAGCGGTTGTAAGGCAGCTCAAAATACCCATAGTAGTGCTCAGAACTACCTCAGTATAAGTGCCTCTCTGTTGTATAAAGAAAGACAATAAAACCAACCTGCAGACAACTGCGCGACGGCAGCTTGCACGACTGGGTCGGACGCGCATTGGTCGCGGTCGGGAACTTGAACGTGTGACTGTTGGTAGCTTGTATCTGCGGGAACGTATAGAGACACATGTTGAGTAGACACAATCGGGGCACTGGGATCATCTAGAGCCAATCCGTCGTGTAGAGTGCTAGCCGCGCCCATGGATAACATTGAATGTGGCTGAGCTAGATGTAGCGCGCCGTTCGGTTCATACTGTAACTCATTCCCGGGCGCATGAACACGACATGCGAGAACAGTGTACATCTCCACCCGAGGACCAATGACTGCAGAGAAGCCTATCGATGCTAGAGGCGTAGCAAATATCAACCTGCTTGAATGGTCAATATTATCTCCGACACAACAGGCTCACTCGCTGACCAGTAGGGGGACGGTCGTTTCCACCACGGCAGTACCTTCCATGCTGTAACTTCTTCGTCATGTTCTTCGTCTTCTCGGTCAAGCTGGACCGACCCGTCCTGGTCCACGAGCATGCGTTCTGACTGTTGCTGCGGGTGCACTAGGTCGTGCAGGGTGTGTTCATCGACTGGAACGCCAGGCAAGATCAACCCTTCAGGCTGGGGAATATATCCACCCCTCGAGGAAGCCACAGATGTGTTTCTGGATGATCTTCGAGACATGGTGGCCGTTGGCGTTGAACGTTGAGGGCTGAAGGGTGTGATAATTTATTTTAATACGTACCGCGAGGTGCTCTGCCCGGAGTCACGTTGGTTACTGCAACTCACATGCATGTAGCACTAGCACATGTTTGTACTAGCCGATCATTCAAATATTCAATATCAACTGTCATTTACCGATAAGTCGGATTTTGGATTAATGTCACTAACCTTGCACTAACCTTATCTTATCTTGCTTGACTCATCGTCATATATGTCGGTAAGCCCGTAGTACACGCATCTGCCTCTTCTTGCTATAACTTCGTTTCTAGTCGACAGCAAGGACAGTGGATATCAACGAGGATGTCTCAAAGGCTCTTAGAAAATTTCGGTTTCAGCGTAGGAGCCAGGGACACGCAGCAATCGTTATCAAGATCAACAAGGCTGCTCTCAAAATGGTCGTAGACGAGGAGTATGATGATATTTCAATCGCAGACCTTGTAGAGGGTACGATCATCCTGGAACTATCTTTCATCTCTTCACTGTTTGCACACTCCAGAGCTGCCTCGAAATTCTCCCAGATATGTCGTGTTGTCATATGAACTCAAACACCGCGATGGCAGGACATCATTCCCACTCGTGCTTATCAACTGGGCTCCATCATCATCCGAGACAACCATGATGACCTTGCATGCTAGCGCCCTCCTTGATTTTCAAAGAGTCGTGAGTACTGTGCCAAAGCCTATTCTATCAAGACTTCACTCAATGACGCTTACAATGCTCCAGGCAGAAGCAAACAAGACTATCGAAGTTCGAGATGTGGAAGAAGGACTCACTAAGGAAATCGTGGACGATAAACTTCTATCTTAACCTGTTAGATTTATATCCGCGCCCGCAATACAACAGGTCGGACATACCGTGGACGCCACGCTTTTACATATCATAATGTCTACAGTAGTTTCGGAACGTTCATCGACTTGATCTTGTTGGCTCGACAGTAGAACCCCGCTCTCAATTTAACAATCATGAGCTCTTGCTGATACGAATCCTACTGGATGGATGAGTGAGCTAGCTTATATTTGTCCTCGCGTAGACATTGCCGGAAGCCTTGAAAATAGCCCTTTGGAGTCTGAGAAGTTGGTGCTTTGTTCATCCTGCTTGGATCTCCTTCCCCACTCAACTTACAATGAGTGCAGATCAGTTACTTCTCAAGTCAAAGATCGGTGTTCCGACCAACATGAAATCCAGACCTGGGTCAGCGAGGAGGAAATGTCGAGCAGGTTTGCGATCACACTGAATCATTATCACTCTTGCTTTGGACCATCTGACTCATACACATACCTCCACCATAGAAAAATAGACCAATATACTCACGCCGGCAATGCTGCAAAAATTAGAATAGGGAGTGCTTGATAATGCGGGTGGACTATACATGGTCTATTCCCTAGGAATGAATGGGCTACTCCGTTTTGAGGGAGCTTCGATAACGGGAGGAAGCGATTGAACCATCTCTTTGGTACCAGCAGGGAAAGGTAGATCATCCACACCCTTGGGAAGGACGCTCTCGTAAAGGCCTTTAGCTTGGTTTGCATTTGCGAGACAAAGCATTTTCTTCTTTGCATCGCGAACAAGGACGTGTGCATCGTCAACTCCTGGCACTGCGCCCTTGACAAAAATCAGGTCGAGGGTCGTGTCAACACGGACCACGGGAAGATTCTGGACAGTGGTTCGTTCGCCTCCCAGTCGGCCTGCCATCTTCTTACCGGGCCAGACTCTACCCGGGTCCTATAAATCAGACTCAGTAGGGATGTTGCTCAAATTAATAGACACGAACTTGGTGCTGTCCAGTCGCACCGGCTGAACGATGTGATACAGAAACACCATGGCTTGCACGTAAACCCTTGAAATTCCACCGCTTCATAGTGCCTTGAAATCCCTTCCCGATACTGGATTGCCTGAGTCAAACATGCAAAGATGATACGGAGAACTCACGAATTGGCAATCACGTCCACAAATTGCCCAGGTACAAAGTGAATGGCGGAAAGTGTCGTTCCTGAGTAACTTTCCTGTCATGGAAGATTGGAAAACGTGTTCTCGAGGAACTCACCAACAGGGACGTGTGCATCGGGGGTGATAGGGAACTCCTTCACGATATACTTCGGCTTAACATGAGCCGTCCGGAAATGACCCCTCATCTGATGCGTTGTTGTCCTCTTTGGACGGTCGGACGCACCAAGTTGGACTGCATGATACTCGGTGCGGTCTGGACGCACATGTACAATATTCTTGGTCACTTGACAGTTCTCCAGCTACGACATATATGAGAACAAGAGAAAAGCACATGCAAACCCGCCCACCTGCAGCACCGTGACTGGAACGCGCGCGCCGTGGTCATCCCATATAGCGGTCATTCCACGTTTACGCGCAATGAGACCAGTGCGTATCGAATTCGGTGTCCATTTGGCAGACGTCACAGAAGAACTGGGGTTTACGGTTCGTGCCCATGCAATGCGGGTCGAACTAAATTGTCGACGTTGTGAAATGAGTTGCCATGGCCTCGGCGCGAGTGCCCAATGTTTAAGCATGGTCGAAAACAACCTTAACTCTGCGGCTTTACTGAAAGAAAATGTTGTCGGAGGTCGGAGCTTTATTCCCATGCTCATAATTAAGCCACGCATTAAGATAACTTGCTGCATTCTTTGAACCTTGTCTGGTGTTTGCGCAGATGGAATGGAACATTGGCCTGCGGATGAACGACACAAAACATTGCCTGTAAAGAAACAGGCCCGGGGAAGGGGAAACAAAAGGCTCCAAGTTCACGACACTCAGTATTGGAATCGTCCTTCCCTCGATTATGGAACCTTTGGTAGTGCGACCCTCGTGTCATCTGACGGACGGCTAGCTTGGACAACTGTTGTTGATACATCAAATGGTGAGTTTGAACTTTGTGCATGAGTTAGCATGATCTTAGTTGGCAATTCATTCAGCTCGAAGAGTGACACCAGTTGAAGCGGGGCGTTGTATTTTTCCAGCCACTCGACCTGTGAATCCGACGCCAAGTCGTCTTGCGCAGTGGAGGCGAATCGAAGAAGGAGTATGAGTTTCATCCATGTTCTTAGCGTTATCTTGACGTTGTGCATCCCATAATAGCTCAACTTCGTTAGAACATGTTTCCCGGACGCCGATTTCCCTGCGGAGCTCATCAAGGCGGAATTCCAGTCCGACGAACGACAAAACCGAGAGTTAAAAGTCTACGATCCTTTGAGAGGCAATCTCATTAGCATTGTACCATCTTCTAGCACCCCTCAAACATCACTAATTCTCTTTCCGGTGGGAGAAACCAGCAATGAATTGAGTAGGTCGTCGTGCCCAATCTCGCCCTTATTTGTTAATCTCAGCTTGAATACCAGATATTTCATTTATATCCGCTACTAATTCCGACTCTACTTTTCACGCGCCTGGGCACGCTGCGTCCAAGTTCGAGACACCTATTCTCCAGATCTCAACTCCAAATGCATCGAATTCACCTCTGAAGCACGGCACCAATCCTGTTTTAGTCAGAACACTCTCCGCAACATCTCTGTTGAGCATTGAATCGGCGGATGAAGGCACCGACTTCAAGGCCACAAGGGAGGTGGACATATTATCTGATGACACAGGAGGCAAAAGCGTAGTAGATGCTGCATTTTCACCCCATGACTCGGATATCATTGCTGTGAACACCTCTGGAGCACTTTACAACTGCAGTATATATCAAGGAGCGAAAGCTGTGTTTGTAACTTTTTTTTGTTCAATTTCACTGGTCTCATGCCTTCATCAGGCGGCGCATAGGGGTTAACCAAGTTCGTTTTGAGAACACAAACGGAGACCAATTTTGGAGGCTTCGTCCGTCTGACCAAGGCTACTTCCTAGCGTCAAGTAGCTGCATTCAACATCTCGATTTCAGGGTACGACTTCCAGTAGAACATAATGATTTCTCGGCTAACTCAGAGATAGTCGAGCCAGCCTACTGTTGACCTATTTTCCACTGATCAGTTGGGCTCTGTTGTGACATCTTTTGACTGGTTAGAGCGAGAACATCTCCTCACCATTTCGACGACATCGGAGCTCCTATGGTTGGACAATCGGTACCCGAAGAAAATGCTTCTGAGCTTCAAGCACAACCGAGCGCGTGATAGATCGCTCAATGTCAGAGCTGTACAGTTAGACAGCGGTACGGAACCAGCGAAATATTGTTCCTCTTTATTCACTTATTTTCCATTATAGGCCCTCTGACTTTCTTAAGTTCGCTTAAAAGCGGACTCATCACTATTTATGACGTGTCTCGAGGAAATGACAATCTGATCCACTGTCATTCCGTTCCAACATCTTTACCTCACGACGGAGATATGGGTGCGTCTGAGGCGGAAAGTACATTTTTTGTCCAGCCCGATAGGTCCACCTTTTCCCTCTTGCGGCTCTCCGGACAAGGCAGTCTCCACTGCCAAGACTTTGCTGTATATCGCAATGGCATGGACGTACTTCCAAGACAGACTAGTGGCACTAGCCACGAATGGTCCGCCGATGTGCAGAAACTAGCTCAAAGAGCAAAGGAGCTTCAACCTCAGTACGGGCCACTGAGCGCAAGGCATTTCTCAGAGTTAAACCTACGGACTGCGTATCAGAGTGAGCATTGGTGATTTAGTTTGGTCCTGATGCTGATTTTGGTTGCAGAAATTTTCGTTACGGGGGGTGTTAAAGAACAAGCTGCCTCCGAGGGCGAACTTGCCGTGATAACAGAGAAGCTATCTCAGTTTTGGGAAAGGACAAATAATTCTGACAAGGCAATGTTGACCTTGTGAGGCGTGTTCAAACATTTGTCGTCCTTAGACACTGATCCGTTATATTATCAGGTATGATGTCTGCCTTAGCGCTGACGAAGAGCCAGACGAAGCTTCACGAGCGAACTTTTTTGCTGGCGGGATCATCAACTCGAATCATGGGTACAAAACGCTTGTACGCAACGAGCTACCGGTTCAGGAAATTACGAGTGGTGCAGCATGGTCTTGCGATTTCAAGCCGTTTCTCTGCCGTATGGGGCTTGGTCGCGTGGACCACTGGCAGGAGATGCATAGTGCTCTGGAAGCCTTCAGTTTGTCATACTCGAACGATGCCCCTGGGACATTCGTGCAACAAGAGGAAGAGTCACGAGAACAGCTCATCCTCGATTTGGCCCTTTCTAGCATGGTATTTTCAGCTCAACCTGTTTCCATGCCCGCTGCTCCGATCCAAGTTGACGATGTGGAGATTATGTCTCTTGCCGCAAAATCTCTAATACTTGACGACGAACTTCCCGAAATTCAGTTTGGCTACCTGCGTCCATATCCCAAGCTTTGTATCGACCATTACCCTGATGCTTCCAGGGACAAGGACGCTGTCGCAGAACCTGCGCAGGATGTAGATTTTTTCCAGTCCGCTGGGTGTACGATTGTTGTTGAGGGAGTGGGAGGTTGGAACGGACGTCGAGTCCTATACATATCATGATCCATACAACACAGAAGGCGACGATTCTATTGCTCCTTCCCGAGAACGGGCACTCCCCACCGCACCGGTTGCTACGCAAACGACGACTACAACATCACAACGCCCTCCGCTGATTGTTGTAGGTTTCGAGCCCCGTCCACCTCCCATACATATTGCCCAGAATCACTGGGGAAGGTCCGGCACCCAGCCTCAAGGTTTCACTTTACCAACCACAGATATTCGATATGAGAATTATCCTGAACCTTCTCAAGCCTCCCAAGAATTGATGACGAGTACCCAAGTGTTACCTGGACCGTATGGTGGTCGAAATGCTCCGAATAAGAAGCTTGTGAAGAAGAGGCTGGGTGGATTCTGATCAGTACTTAGTATATGCCCTCGAGGTTGGTGTAATACGCAATTGGTAGCATTTCCCGGACCATGGTGTCATTTATAGACGCGTCGGGAATACGAAATTTAAATATAGGCACATAAGCCCGTCAGCCAAATATGGGTAATTTTCATGACGCGTGACACCTCCGACACTCTTCAGGCATATATATCGAATTGCCTTTGAAGATCCCTATCTCCTCTCCAACTCTTCTTTCTGGCTCCAACTGAGATCACGCCCGGCCTTTCTCGACACGGACTGGCAGAGGCACGAAACTGGACTTTTCGTCTGGTCCAGCAAGAAGAGTTATGGATGGAACAAGGTACGCCCGTAATCTGGACTTCTCCCAAGGTCGTAGTTCTTGAAAAGTCTCCAGCCCACCAATAAACCCCTGGTTCAACAGGGATGGTTTCAACGACGTTCTGAAGCGTATGTATGATGAAAATCACACGTTAATTTTGCAATAACTCCTCTGCTAGGAAATAAGCCAGTGGTCTGCGCTCTCTCAGCTAGCTACATTTCAACCTTTGTTGGATATCCAGTACGTTTGCCCTTTCTACAATGAAACAACTTGCGAATCTAGCTGTCTTCTAGTTGGATTCTTTGAAGTCGAGACTACAGACCACCAAGACAAGGATGCCAGTACTCAAGCTTGCTGGTATCGTCTATCGGGAAGAAGGAGTAACCGGCTTCTATAGAGGTCTCTGGATACCGCTTGTCACGATTTCGTTTGTCCGTGAGTTATCACATGTTGTCTTGTCTGCTCTTGATAAGCCTAACGACAGTCCAGGTGCTGCTTCATTCACAATATACAGTAGTACAAAAGAATACTGTCGTAAAAACAACTATTTTACAGGTGATAGAGCTTCTGATGCTGCTCTCGCGGGCGGTCTCAGTGGCGCCTTGTCTGGATCATTGATTTCATTTACCAGTGCACGTGCGTGCTCTTTTAACTGTGTATTTCAAACATCTGACATGTGAAACTAGCCTTCGAACTTGTCAAGGTATTTTTATTTGGCCAATTTGTCTGGGAAGGTAATCTTCCAAGTCTGTTGACAGGTTCGAAGGCAACTGGAATATAGCATAGCCGCAACTAAAGGCGTACAAATGGTTAAACCCCCAAATACTATCGATGCTGTCCGAGAAATTTTTCGAACTCACGGGCTGTCCGGGCTCTGGATAGGGTTCCGTCTCCACTTTGGCAAGTGATGTACTTCGCTTTTTGTTACTCTGATTGACCTGCTCTATAGTGCGAGATACGGCTGGCACTGCTTTGTACTTTTTTGAATATGATGCTATGCGACATCTATTGGGCCGCCAGCGCTCGGGAGAGCAGGGACCAACACCAGCATGGCTGCCGATACCCACATCCTTGATTCCCTTCGTCTGTGGTTCGCTGGCCGGCGTGTCTTCATGGGCATTGATATATCCGCTTGATGTGTTAGTCCACATCTTTCCCCTTGCCCCAAAACTCATTTTCTTCCCACCTTTTATCAGAGTAAAGACCAAGTCCAGCAACGTGCTTTAGCTGGCACTCCTCCGAAAGGAGTATGGGAAACCCTCCGTCGCCTCGTGCGCGGTACGGCAGACCAATACAGTCATGTTACTATGGCTCAAAATTCATTAGGTCCGGATCCTAAGGATCCAAAGCCAGTCCTTGCTGGCATAGCACGCATATATCGCGGTCTCGGCGTCAGTGCAGTGCGGAGCATCACGACGCACGGGCTTCTCTGGACGTTATTCGATATCACGTCGCATTATATCGATCATCTACACTGACTTTCAAAGCGTTATTATTGGGATCCCACCTAGTCGCTTCTCACTTAGAGACCAGGCATGTACTATAGCATCCGGTTTAGGATTGCCTCGTCTATTCACTATAATCCATATCATCCGAAATACTTTAGCAGTCAATAACAGTCAATATATGTTACCTAAAGTTACGTGGCAGACTCTGCGATATAAAGCTCAAGCTTCAAGGTTATACTTGTCAGATAACTTTTGTCACCACACTCACTCCCTGTCCTGGAAATGGAGAATGTACCAGAACAGATAATCTCCTCACAAGTGAGTCGCCGGGGTAGCTCAGCTGGGAGAGCAACAGACTGAAGTAATGAAAAGGCGATGTCTTCTGGAGGTCCCGTGTTCAATCCACGGTCCTGGCATTTCTTTTTACTCAAGGTTATAAGATTTATGTCTTCAAAACGCGATGTGTACACAGTATGAACGTAACGATATCAAGCGATGGTGTACTTTCCATAGTCTTTCTCTGGGTCATATATCTATGTCTTGATTAACAGGATATTGATACAGGAGGAATGCTCTGCTTACCTCCCATCGAGAGGCCGGAAAGATGTGCTTAAACCGTTGGTACCAGCTCCTCTCCACTACTTTACCAGCGTGTGACTCATCTTTCTCCTTGGTCGCATCAGCAAGCAAGCGAATATCATCATGAACGTCAAAATTAAACAATGGGCCGCTCTTTCCACGAGCTTTGTTGATGATGAAGTCATAGAACGTATGATGCTGTCGAAATACATTGAAATGAATGATCAACAGGGAAACCCAAACTCAAACTTACGTGAGGTATTATGAGGTCCTCCTTGATGTACATCAAGTTGTCAACGCTAACGCCTCGCAATTCCGGGAACTGCTGCCGGCACTTCTCCAAGAAGGCGCTAATGGTATCACCTTTCTTACACTAAAGCATCCCGCGAATGAGAAATTGAGCGCCAGATCAATACGATAACATACCACAACCGACTTCCTGTGACCACTCCCATCCCAATAAGAATAGGTGATCTCGATTTCTTCCTGTTTAAGTTCCTCTTGTCTGCGAATCCATTCTTGGCGCAACCTTTCACGCTCTTTCCTCTCCGCTTCCTCTCGTTCGCGGTCCGGGAGGAATGATGTATCAACATTAGGATTCTTACGGAACTTGGCGCGCTTGGACGCTTGTTCACCGTTCTCGACCTCAGGAGTTTGACGTGACGAGGTGTCTCCTTCGACGTCGCCTTCGTCATCCATGGCAAATGATAAGGTAGCCTTTGCCTTCTTGCGTTTCTTTACCCTCTTTGTTTCGTCCCTAAACAAATCCTCCACGGAATATAAGCCATCTTTCCACACAGTCGTCACGGCACAAGAGAGAATGGCAATGGATACTGAAAATGACATACTTGAGTTCGTTGGTGCGAGCAGCCTCGCGTGCCTTTGCCTCTTCTAGCTCTTTCCTTCTCTGCTGAAAGTCCTCCAGCCTCACTAGACCGATAGTCTGGTTCTTGAGAGTCTCCTCCATGGAGTCATTTTGCCCGACAAATTTGTTGGCTGAGGGACGGGATTTTTCCGTTTCGTTGATGAGAGTCTGTTTTTGGCGTTCATACTCTTCACGATTCTGAGCGCGCTGTTTGATGAAAGCATCCTCGCGACGTCCTTCGGCGTTGTTAGCAGCCATGAAGGTTTTGGTTGCGTGAAGGTGTGGTGTGAAGCGCGAAGTTGAGTCGCGGAGTATGAAATTACTTTTCAAGCTTCAAGCGTTGAAGTTCGCTGCTCCCTTCTAAATATTGTTTGTCCGAGTGAGCCATGGTCCACGTCTTGGGGGTGCAGCTCCCAGACTACCAGTATGCAAGGGTGCGCTATAACGAGTTGTTTCTAAAGGCTTTGCTCACTGTTGAGTTAGTTCGCCTTGACTGCATTCTATGGCATTGGCCATAAAACTGCACATCGACTTTGTGCACGTCTTCAAATTCACGACAAGTGCAAAGTTCGGAGTCTATCACCCCATCAAATCACAGAACTTGCCGCGTTCCTTTCCTCTCCTTCTACTTCAACACCTATTCCTCGCTTTCCACTAGCTACGCCGTCCTATAAACCTCCCTCGGCCTCCACTCCACTCGCGATCCTGAAGGAGGAGACGAAGAAGCTCTCACAAAGGGCATGGGCAGATCCATTGCGAAACATCAAGATTGAGAGCGAAGCAAGGAGAGTGGTCAAGGATAATATCGCGCATCAACGCATGATAGGCAGTTACGTTGGCAAGAGGCATGCCATGGGTCTTCCCGTCCGCGGCCAGAATACCCAAAACAATGCGCGGACCGCGAAGAAACTCAACAGGGTCGATCGTCGTGGCTGAGGGTGTTCATTATGTATGTTCCTATATCCTCGGAAGTTTACCGGACCCCGTACTTGTCCCGTATTCGTCTTCTAGATAATACACTATTTCTAAGTACATCCGAGGTGGCTTCTCTAGTCGTCTCCGACCGGCACTTCTTCTTCCAGGTACTTCAGCAATGTCACCCGAATCTCCGTGCTCTCGTCACCGCGAAGTACATCAGACAAAAATTCCACCTGCACCTGCATCTGGACCTTTGAAATGGGTGTGATGCATAGTTGCGCCGATTATTTTAGTTTGTGGACTTACCATCTCAAGTGCTCCTCTAAGAACACCGCACAGCACGTTACTAAACCATAGCCCTCCTTCCAAAGCTTCGTCAGGGAGTTCGACAAATTCAGCCAAGGGATTCTCATCCAGGGTCAGAATGAACGACGAGCCAGGAACTCCTGACTGTTGAGCTGCACTAGTGGAGCGGGAAGAAGGAGGTGGAGCACCAGAGTGCGTGACTGTTGGTGTGATATTTAGAAAGGATTTAAACCCGACCTTCAAATGAGATGCCTCTAAGAACGTTAGCTCAGGGGGTGTAGTAGTAAACGCACACCTTCGCCACCACCTCGCCTACTTCTCGGAAGTCAGAGCAGCGACCTAAAGAGCTCCTTGCAAGGAAGTCCTCGATCAACCGCGTTCCAATGTTATATCCCATTTTCTCGAGTTGCTTGTTCACTTCAGCATAATCTTCATAGTCCTGGATCAACTGGACGACAAGGGCGCCATATGTAAGAGCAAATAGCTCTGAATTCTGTTGTGCGGTCAGTCGGGGTCTCATTGACCCAAAGACGCGACGCAAAGTCTAAACCTCACGATTTTATCTGTGCGACTTTTCCAAAGGTCCTCTCCGATGGCTTTGTACTGTTTGCTCGTCGTCGCCATCGTCGACGAAAGTGAGATGAATGACTAGTTGCCAAATTGGGCTGAATCGAAAGAATGAATCCACGTGCCTGTCAACTCTAGCAAACCTACTATTATCATCAGAGCTGCTCGAAAAATATGTCACGTCCAGAGTACCAGGCCCCACCAGAGATTGTATATCTTATTTTCGCTGATTTACGGGCTATGTGAGACTGACTTTTGGACATCTATAGTATTATGGCGACGCTGAAGCCAAAAAATATACTCAAAAGTATGCTTGTTCATATATGCATCCCCTTGCCGTTCTCAGTGTCATACAAGCACCCGTAATCAACAGATCCAGGCGGATATGACATACCGTGCTCTTGAGTTGCTCAATATTCCTCCGGATGAACCTGCTTTTCTGTTAGATATAGGATGTGGATCGGGGCTTTCAAGTGAGATTTTGGAGGAGGAAGGACACATCTGGGCAGGTGTAGATATCGCGCCAAGTATGCTCGGTGAGTACCAAGGTTTTAGCATAGTAAGCACTTGACGTGGGCTGATCATAACCAGAGGTCGCACTGGAGAGGGATATTGACGGCGACCTTTTCTTGCAAGACATCGGTCAGGGATTTGGTTTCCGACCAGGAAGCTTCGATGGAGCAATAAGGTCCGTGATTGGACTTCCTTTTCGTGATTTTATCTCACAGTCTACTAGTATATCTGTCTTGCAATGGCTTCTAAATGCTGAAACATCGCATCCAACGTCATCTCCACCACACCGCCTCACTCGTTTCTTCACGACTCTACACTCTGCTCTTCGAAATCCATCCCGAGCAGTCTTTCAATTTTACCCGACTTCCGACGACCAGATACAGCTGATTACCTCGATAGCGCAGAAGGCCGGCTTTGGAGGAGGTGTCGTCGTAGATTACCCAAATTCCAAGAAAGCAAGGAAGGTGTTCCTATGCTTGTTTGTTGGCGGAGGAGGCACGCAGCAGCAAATACCTAAGGGCGTAGAGGGTGAAGACGACGAGCAAGTAAGATTCGAGAGAAGAAGGGAGAAGGAAAGGAAGAGGGATGTAAGTGGGAAGAGAAAGAACATGAAAGACAGGGATTGGATCCTGAAGAAAAAAGAGGCAAGTCAGGTGGAAACTGACCATGCCTATTTACTCACTGATATTACTAGTTGTATCGCCAACGAGGAAAAGAAGGGGTACCAAGAGATTCAAAATTCACTGGCCGCAAGCGCAAGCCAGTCTTCTAGTGGAATTTATCGCAGTATTTCACGAACGCCGGATCTTCGTGAAAGGATACCATACAAGTACCTACGTCTACTCATGTCCGTCTATCCACAAATAGCTCGGGGAGGGTCTTGACCGCATCCTGAGCATTGTTCCTGATGAACAAGCCTTGGAGGGCAGCCATGCTAATTTCCCTCCCATTAGACATCTCTTTGACAGTTAATTCCTCTACCTGCTGCCCCATGCGTTCTACAAGCTCCGGTTGGACAGACTCACTATCGCCATAGAAACGTGTAAAGAGCGTGCGTGCCTGTGTGGGTGACGCATTATCAACAAGCACGCTTAGATCAACACGCCCCGGTCTGATGAGTGCAGGATCCAAATTTCCGAAGTGATTTGTCGTCATGAAGATAATCCGCTCTTCTCCCGAGGCAACACCATCCAAAGCGTTCAAAAAGCCAGAGAATGTGACAGAGGACTGATACCTATAGTATATGCTGTTAGCCACGCGTTCCGAAGTATCGGACTCATTGGCTCACCCATCCTCACTTGTTTGCATGCGTTTGTTAAATGCGGCATCCACGTCTTCGATGAGTATAAAGCTACGCTCTGGGCATTTGATAACAGGTGATTGAGTTTATCATCGCCGAGTCCTCGTTCTGACAAATTGAGTAGACATATGTCATACGATAACGATCCTGCCAAAGCTTGAATATAGGAAGTCTTCCCTGAACCAGGAGGGCCATGCAGGAGATATCCTCTTCGATAAGGGATGCCCCGGTCCGCATACCATTGACGCCGTTGCAAGAACGCCTTGACATCCTGTTCTACCTTTTCACTTACACCCGTATCCAGCACGACACTGTGTAGTGGACGCTTTCGCCGAGGTTGACCAAATGGCTTCCATTCGATCCCCCATGCGGTTCTGATCACGAGTTTTCCTTCTTGACCGCGGAGAGCAAGGTCACGTGCTTCTGCGAGGAGCTTCGAGAAAAGATGGCGATCTCTGGACAGTGTTGTTACTGTCACAGTTTCCCATGGCGTGCCCGACATGAGTTGCATCGAGCGGGTCTCACGTTCTCTTTTCATCTTGATCGTAATGTTATGGAAATATGTTCCGGTGTGACACATAATGCGACTGACCTGCATCCAAGCTCCGCCGTACTTGAACCAATGCGTTCCTGGACCCGCGACTAGCCTGAATAGAACAGAAGAACTCCCATTGCTGCGTTGCTCGACCGCAGTTTCGACACTTAGTTGATGACTGCGCAACCAAGACTCGGTTCTTCGAGAAGAAGTTGGAGCAGCTGATTGTGCATTATGTGCAAGCCATGCGAGAAACCACTCGTATGCGCGATCTTTGTTGTTCACTTCTAATGATACAAGGAGACGCCGGCGAAGTGTGGTAGTACCAAAGACCAGACCTTGGCGAAGTACAGTTAGACCAACGCCGACGCCCTGGTTGATGTGTCAAATTGTGAACAAAGAAATTTTAGATATGTAGTACGGACCATGAGACCGAAACCAGCCTGGAAGTAGGGGCTATACTTTCGAATACCTCTCAGTAACTCGCAGGTCGCCATAGATATTACGGAGAACGTACTTATCACCTATAAGGCTGCTAATGATGGAGGATGAGGCTGCCCCTGCATCTTGGGGTATTGCAAGACCAGTACTCGACAAGCCTGGTGCATTGGCAACCTGGCCTTCCAGAGAAGCACCGTGGATAGCCATGACGGGCCAGTATCAGTCGAAGACTCGAAACCAGAGAAAGCTTGATAGGCAACTGGCCCAAGCTGGTCTCCCTAAAGATAGAAGATGCTTCTTTGTTATGGACGAGCCTAGGCTAGTACGAGGTACTACTAGCTATAGTAGTAGTACTAGTAGTAGAGCAAAAAAAATCGGACCGATTCCTAATTTGGAGCGCGTTTGTTAGCGCGACTGCCTGTTTTTCTCGTTATCCTCTTCCATCGCGGTGCCATGGTCAAGCACTCGTCCATTGCCGAGGCATACTCCATTCTCGGTCTTCAAGAGGTATAAGATTATTGTTTTTGTAGAAGTGAGTATAATCAAACATCATGTTTAGGGTGCCACTCTTGAGGAGGTCAAGTCTGCTTATAGGCAGGTGAGTTGTCCAGGCAAAAATACATCGGCGGCTATTCCAATAATATAATGTTCAGCATGCGCTGCGCACTCATCCAGACAAAAATCCCAACAATGCCGATGCTACTGCACAGTTTCAGGCAGTCGGTGATGCATACACTGTCCTCCAAAGGCACCTGGATCCACCTACGGGCCCCAGACGGATGCATTCTCATGGCATGGACGACGACGAATATGACGACTACGAGGACTACGGGGACTACGAGGACGATCTCTATGACTCTGAGGACGAAGCAGCCCGCACTGCATTTTTCAAGTACGTTATTACAGTCGCCTACAGACGTAAACTCCTGACTCATTCTTCACAGATACGTTTTCTCCCAGTTTGTGAATGGGGTACATATGCGGTTTAAGCGATGTAAGTGATTTATTTCCCTAGTTGCAATTCGATGGAAATAGAACGCCTGGTGTAGCCGACCCTCACCGTAATTATCGTCGTCGATCTCTCTCCCCTGAAACCCCCGAACAATATAGGGCTCGAATCGAACGGACTCGCGCAGAGCAAATCGAGGCCGAAAAACGGCGCGCTGAAGAGGCAGCTGAACGCAAAGCTTTTGAAGCACGGCAACGCGAGAAGGGTATGTAACTCGTCTTCAGTCGTTACAATTATAAATTACCCCTTTCTAGAACGTAAAGAGGCAGCTGAGAGGCAACAAGCTAAATTAGCGTCCAAAAAGGCAGAATCTGTAGCCGCTCGTAAAAGAGCGGCTGAGACTGCTGAGGCTCAGCAACGGCGTGCCCAGACCATAAGATCAGAAGCTTTTTCGGCTGCACGTAAGGGAGACGCCATCAAAGTCAGGAAGGCGGTTTGGGAAGAAAATGTCGATGCTGCTGGAGGCGAAATCAAACCTGGTTGCGAAACCCACGTCAAGAGGCCACCTGAAGATCCGAAGGAAACACTGTTACATATTGCTACACAGCGAAGTGATGTCGACCTCGTGGTGTGGCTAGACGCCCACAGTCAGTCACGTTGCTTTAATTACCGCTGTCACGAGTTAATTAACCCGTTCTAGGTGCAGATCCGGAAGAGCGCAACTCTGCAGGGCTGTCGGCCTTCCACTTGGCTCTTCGGCATGGTTGCATCCCAATCATAAACCATTTCTTCCAGTCATATGATCCGAAGCAAGACGACGACCATAGTGCAATTTATAGCCTCTCACCACCAATGTCGCTTCTTTCTCTAGCTTTGGAATCTGGCCAGCCCGAGGTTGTGTGGTTGATCCTCGAAAAGGGTCTGGCTTCCACCCAAGATATCGGAAATGCGTGGACGCAGGTTACGTCTGGACAGACCAATCAGCCCCTGTTCAAGAAACTTCCCCGAGATAGTGTCAAGTTTTCAGAGATCCAGAACCTTCTGATGACGTTTGGAGGGTTCACACCGCCACCCACACCAAAGGTCTCGATCTCAAAGGATACGAGACATAATTCACCTTCTCCCCTTTCGCCGTTTGCGCCGGACGGCTCTGCCAAGAGTCGTCAGCAGGCTCGTCCTAAAAAACCAAGCGTCAATCAAGTTCGTCCCAACGCCCAACCTGCCAAATTACCCCACAACAGCGCCCCCCCTCCCCCCTCAGAACCCAGCAAAATCCCTGCGCGGGGTCCCGGTGGCGGACGTGGGCAGGGTCGCGGACGGGGTCGTGGACGGGGTCGTGGTCGCGGACGTGGAACCTAGATTGTTATTCAGTGATCCCATACCTCTGTTCCGTGTACTCCTCGGCATCAGCATATCTCATGATTCTTTCATTTCATTCTTTCATCACTTGGCACATACCTCTCCTTCACATCAAGCCTCTTCTTGACGCACCATGCATGCATAAGTATCAATTGCGTCATCCCATAGTCTTGCTAGAGCTGACATCATGATCGCTAGCTAATGTTTATATCGCAAATTTGTGTAATATTTACTCTATGCGCATACACCACTCGTATGTAAATTAAATCGTTTGTAGCATTCTTTGATTGCCTCGGCTGAGCAAGTATTATCATTAATGAATATTTGCTCTTGTTTGATTTCAAAGCTGTTGACAAAGATGGCCAAACATGCTCCCTGGTGCTTCAACCTTGACCACATTGGTCCTTTCATTACACCCAGCTGTCAATCTATACACCAAACCACTGACATCATGGGTCGACTAGCGGAGATGCAGAGGAAGCTCCTCGAGGTATGTCATTCATCTGGCTGCCGAAGCATTGTCGTTAATTTACGTGTCCAGCAAATGATGGGCCCTGAGGCAATGGGAGTTGCCAATGCCAACCTCGTCTGGTCTGACGATAAAGTTTGCCGGAACTTTCTGTGCGGGACATGCCCGCATGCACTTTTCACAAACACTGTACGTTGATTCGCTACTTTTTTTGAGTACTTAAATAGAACTTCTCAACTTAGAAAATGGATCTTGGAGCATGCCCAAAGTCACACACGGAGCGATTGAAGACAGAGTTTCTGGCAGCTAGAGAGGCAAACCCGAGTGACCCTATATTTTCTCGTTTCCAAATGGAGTATGAGTCGAACATATTTGCCTTTGTGGACGAGTGCGACAGAAGGATTCGGGCTGCGCACCGAAGGTTGGAGAAGACTCCAGAGGAGAACGCGAAGACAACCAATTTGATGCGAGAAATTGCTGAGATCGAGTTGGCTATTCAGGGTGGGACTGAGAAGATCGAGACCCTTGGTATGTACTTTCCCTTTGGGAATTTGCCTGCTTTCTTACATTCCCTAGGTGAACAAGGAAAGGTTGATGAGTCAATGAGGGAGATGGCCGCCATTGAAGCTTTGAAGAGCGAGAAATCAGAAAAGGAGGTATGTTGCGCCCTCGATTTATTTCTACCATGGGAACAGGATCTCATTTTGTTGGATCTAGCGCGAGCTTCAGCAACTCACAGACACGTCCGGGGCCTCCGGCCATCAGAAACTCCGAGTGTGTGACGTTTGCGGTGCATATCTTTCTGTGCTTGATTCCGACCGGCGCCTTGCGGACCACTTTGGAGGCAAGGTATGTTGTTTTTCATATCAATTCGCCTGAAAAAATAGATTCTCACGTTTCGGTAGATGCACTTGGGTTATCACGAGTTGCGAAACATGCTAGGCAAGTTTCGGGAAGAGCGCGAAAAGCGTAAAATGCCACCTCCGTCTTCTGCACCTCCCTCCGGCGCAGCCGGGGGTGCAAGCAAACCCGGCGGTGAGCGAGGTAGCGATCATCGGCCGTCACGTGATGATCGTGAACGTGAACGAGGGTATGATAGACATGCATCGAGATATGAGTAAGTTTGTTGGCGGCCTCAATGATAACGTTTAACTGATGGTTCTTCCAGTGATCGTCGGAGAGATCGTGATCGCTCTCGATCTCCCGGCCGCAGACGATATTGATGTAGCAAGGTGTTTTGATAATGTATTACTCTTGGAAAGGGTTGTTTGTAACCGGGGATACGAACCATCGTGGGTTGCATCGTGGATCCAGTGAGGCGCCGAACTTTGAGACGATTGTAGTATGTATGTACATATACGTCGAAGGTTCGAGAGAGGCTAGAGTTGAATGCTACAAACATGCTGACCGAGACGGCAAGAGTCGGAAGACCCGTTAAATTGGCTTGATAGTTAGTTCCGTAATCTTTTTCTTGATTTTGTACTAACCTAAAGTAGAGATACCCATTACATTATTTTGGTATAATTATGATGCTTGTGCCTGTGACAATTTAATCGTGACATTAGACAAGTGCATGCAATCTGCATGTTCTTCACTTTCTTGTGTCTTGCTACTACTATTGGATAAAGCCGCGCTTTATTTTGTGTCTTTTCATCCTCATAAAACGCTTCTTGCATTCATCTTATTCCGTCGTGAATCTCACTGACAGTCAGTAGCTTAAAATTCGGGCAGTCTATAAGCATTTCGGAACAACAATCGCAATCTTTCTCTTCAAAGGTTTTCCGTTGCTTTCAACCTCTGGACGCTCTTGTCGCCGTACCATTTCTGTCTATAGAAAATCACGCCTTGATCTTTTGCTCTCTATATCTTTTGCCATAGTCTTCCATAACGGATCTCCCAGGAACTTGGCTGTCAGCGGCTGCCCACAGGTTCCGAAGCACATTTCCTTGATCAATGATGTCCCTTCATGATACGCGGGACTCAAATGTTCAGATGGACACTAGCTCCCTCCAATCGCCATCGAATACCCTTTCTCTAGGTTACCCACCTCTCGTTCCTCAACGCCCTGAGGATCCTCTCATACAAAATACCATGTCTCATACTCCGCGTGAAGCTATTTCCATCTTCCAACGACCGGCGGACCCTAACGCTCTCCACCTCTCTCTTGCAGATACCTCTCCTTCCACTGGAATGCATTCAATGGATGTACTTGATACAAACACCTCATCGCGTGCACCAGCACCTGGCTTTATTTCTGATTTTCCTTGTCGAAATATCTCATACGGCTCAATGTCGCGAATGGATAGTCATCTTGCCCTTCACTCCCCGCAAAGCGCGACCTCGGGCTCCAGCGGTCCTTCATCTGCCGTCCATGGCGTGTCATCTGCATATGCCATGAATACATCGTCCATCATGGTCAACGGACAGTCTATGATTCAATCTGTGCATACCGGAGCGCTGGATTCTTCTGGGTCTCCGGGGGCTTTGGGTAGTTCAGTTTCTGAGCTGGCGTTTCCCCCTTTAAGCAATAGCTCATCAAAGCCCACACAAGACCCAGGTTTTATCTTTCCCCCCCCAGACATACCTGATTCGTTCACTGGGCGCGACAGCTCGCCAGAGACACCCGGCGACTCACACTTACTGGTCGTCGGAGACATACTCAAAACGTAAGTTCTCGTATCTTCTGCTTCAAGACTAAGAATAATTATGTTGGGTAAATACGCAGTATTGCGCACACCGCGCAATCAGCAAGTACAGCATGTTCTCGTGGTCAGGGTCTTGAGGCCAACGTCAGAATTGATGAGCTCAAGAAGACTATTACATTGGTCTCTGAGCTTATTGCTGCCACAAAAATTGCGGATACTCCAGCCATATCACGTAATCCTTCGCCTCGACGCTTTTCTTTGTTGGGCGCAAATTCCAACGTTTCCCCGTCCACACATGGCGCAGTTCCTTTAACGCAAGAGCAATTGGCGTCGGGCATGCACTTTTCCTCTGCAGCAGACTTAGGTACTATGGATGGTCAAAGTAATGGTGATCTTGCGGACATGTCTCGGAAACGATGTGCTTCATCAATGGCTGGTGACCGTGTTATCAAGGCGCCAAAGCGTGAGCCGCAAGAGGACACGCCACTTCATATCATCCCTCCGCCAGTGTCCAGCCAACAGCCCTTCTCTTCTGCTGCTGCGGCCCCCATGACTGATATACGATCCGCGGCTTCATATGTTCCTACAAATGCGTCTGCGGATTCAGCTTCCCGACCAACAAGCTCCGCAGGTCAACCTCCCATAGCAGGGTACGGATTAATTTCACATCAACCGCCCGCCGCATCCATGGGCTTTTCGATACCCATATCTTCAGCACAGCCTCCCTCATCTACGGAATTCATTTCAACGTCACCGCTATCGACAACCATGCCACATTCTGCTCATTTCCCCCCTCCCCCCACCGTCCGGACCTCGTGGTCGGACAGTGCTGCCACATTACCTCATCGCAGCCATCAGCATTCACTTTCGGGTAGTTCTCTCAACGCCGGCATCAATTTTCATTCGATACCCAGCAATGGCTCGTCTCTTGGACCACTCCCATTTTCAACAACCGGAACATTCCCTTCATCATCTTCACAGCCACGTTCTCTCACGAATACCGGCTCGGGCATTACCCCGCCGATTGGCAGAGTTTCTAGATCTAGTTCTTTCACGACTAGCAATGTAAATCCATTGGCGTTCGGAATATCCGAGGTAACTCCCTCCAATGCCCTTGATTTTTTGAATTCAGCACCTACTGCACAATCGCTTGGGTCGCATAGTCCAACTTCATCTCTTGAAGGAGAACATGACGAGTCCGATGTCTCTCACAGCCCGCCTGAGTCCTCGGGATTGAGGATGACTTCTCACCATTCAAGTTCATCTCGCACTGTCGCGGGGCATGACGTCCGTTCTCTCGTTACACGACAATCTACAGAGAATTTGTCTCCGACATCAACGCAAGGGCACAGCAATGAAGTTCCGCAAGAGTATCGCGCGGAAGTTGACCGTATCTTCTTCGAGTTCTTGAACAGTATCTGTTCAAATTGTGAGTCTTCCTCCGAATCATTTCTATCATTAATATAACTTCTTTTCCTGTAGTGGATGCCACCGATGCGAAAGGGGAGCCGATACATCAAACATTAATGGCAAAGAAAATGCAACGTCTAGATGAGTCACCTGATTTTCGACCATTTAAATTCCGGATACAGGCTTTCACAAATGCATTTTTGGAAGAGGTGCGTAATCTTTGGAAACACGAGGCGATCGATGAGATATTGACGCTCATGCAGCTGGCCAAACAAGGTTACCCAGAAGAGAAAATTCCTATGAAGAAGGCTAGCCCATGAGATCGATCATCTGATGATAACCTGACTGAACTTTGATTTCGTGCAGATCCGCAACTACCTGTGGAACCAACCGTATATCTCGCGCTTCAACGAGGATGGTAAAAAGACCAAGTCTAAGGGTAATCATATTTGGAACATAGATGCAAAGAAGAGCCCTCATGATGGCACTTGGACTTTTCGCCCTTTCCATCGGAAAGTAGCTGGCTCGCCGCCTGGTGTTGCTTACGTTGGCCTTCGGTGGTCTTGGGCACCTCGTATATGGGATCCACAGGCGTCGCGATCGAACTTGATAGTTACGTATGCATCGCCGTCCCTCCCATCATGGCTATTTTGGGAAGACGATGTGCTGTCAGGAACACCTCCCCCGGATGCAGAGAGCTGTGACATCACGGTTGTGGCCCGTGTACGTTTCATCTGTGTGGACGTCCATTATTATCTAACGCCAGCGGCGTAGTATGTTCAAGATGGGCAAGAAGAGCTGCTGTCGCAGACCTTCCATCTTAATATTGTGCCTGTCTCGAACCTTGACACCTCGTTCTCTGCCTCGCGTCGCGGTTCTATGAATGGGGAGATGCACAAGCCACGTCGTGTGGCAACTGATTCCACAGTTCCTCAGGCATCTCCCAGGTCAGTGTCAGTCCGTATTTAAGGACGTCCACTCTCACGTGTTCCATTCCAGGCCGTTAAGGTCCCAACCATCGTCTGGTGGTCTGGTGTCACCAGTTGCCACGCGTGATGCGCAAGTGATTCAAGTGCTGACGTCAGCTGCTCAGCGTGTCGCTCAAGAAGCTCAGTCTCAAATAATCTCTTCCGCGACACCAGGCGAGCCCGGCCCTGAGCTGCAGGCCCTCGCGAAGCAACAGCATGTGTTAACAATTACCGCACAAGCGTTCGACCAAGAAGTGACTGGTCAACAACGGTCGGAGATTGGCCCACAGGCAACTACTGTGTTAGCAGCAGCGGCACAACAGGTCGTATTCCAGGCCGCACGCCAAGTAGTTGCGGATCGCTCTGCCGCTGTTGCGAGTCAGATCTCCGCGGGTTTCACTCCCCCACCTGATGCTGCTACACAGGTGACTGTTAATGAAGTGTCAGTTGCCACGCAATCAGCCGTTGCACAGGCTGTCGAAATCACTGGACCGTTATCCAACGAGGTTGACGTCCTGATGACGGCAAGTTCCTTGTTGCAACAACAGATTAGAGCTCCAGTAAGTCCATTTTCAGCGATGTTCGATTCCGCTCAACGATCAATGCCCATGAACTCTTCGCATTCCCACTCTGCCGGAACACTACCTCTAGCCCCATCATATCCAGCAACCATGACTGCTCAATCCAGTGTTGGTGTCGTTCATTATCCATCCGCTATGTCTTCTGGTAGCTTGTCAGACTTTGGTCAACTATCATGATGCTCCGCGATTCTTAGCATATCTCATTTAGGGTTTTGGGACTCATTATGTGTCGTTGGGTTATCTGCTTATCTCACTTGCTTCATCATCTCCTATAGAAATCCGGCACGGCATTCAATCATTATCGTGACTCGAGAGTGTAAAAGAGGGTCGAATAAGCATTATCTGTACTTCTATATGATACCGAGAAATCACGTTCCTCAAAGTTTCAAATCTTTCTGACAAAACATGCACTGCTGTCCGTTGGGAGGGTTCTGCACATCGCACACCCGACAGATCTGGGGGGACTCGTGGTCAGACTGCAGCTCCCCCTCAGAGCTTACAGTAGCATCTGCAACGATGTTTGGATGTGACGAAGCCAACAGGGTACCGCCGAAACCTCGCTCTTCCTTGCGCCTTTTCTTTGCACGAGTGACGTCGTCTGTCGTTGCATTCTCGTCATCTTCTGCCTCTTCCCGAAGATCGAGGACATCGTTGATGAGAAGTCCAAGCGTTGCAACAGTGACCGAACTATCGTCAAGTTCCTGGCCACAGTAGGACAGTCGTTGACAGATTGTTGGGATCTTGAGCGCTTCATATAGCTGTGACGGAAGTCAAGGAACGATCAAAACACAAGACAGGCACTGACCATCACTTTAATGTCCTTCACCGTAGTTGATTTGGAGACAGTGATCCGTTTCTTTTCCACACCATCCTTGGATTCGCGTATACGCTTTGATTGCCGCGTACCAAAGGTCCTATTAGATCCATATGCCATTTGAGGATGCTGACCATTCTCCTCGGATTTATGGCTCTTGTTCTCCTGCGTCACAACATCCTTGGACGCGTTTTTCCCGCTCAACAGCCGAACAGTGATCTCGGCAACATCATAGTTAGACCGCCTGCGTGGGGCATCTGTATTGAAATGACAGGAGCTGAAATAGTCAGGAGTGCCCACCTCTTTGAACGACAGCCATGACACACGGGGATATCGTGCTCAAACTTGGTGTCAAATACGTTTGGTGGATTTTCGACAAGCTTCTTCTCCAGTGTGATCGGAGAGATGCATGGATACCTATTATCGGAACAATGAATCAGACATATCGTGACGTCCAAGTACCACACACAAATCTGCTAGTAGCATCCACTCTGTCATTTGTACAACCGCAATAGATGTATCCCAATCGTTTGGACAGTTGGGATCGAAAAGAAGGTGCCCATGCTCGCACAGGAATTGTGAATTATTGACTCCTTCGGGACGTGGTCCATCTGTTGGCCGAGTGACCCACTTTCTCCACAAACGCACGAAGTGTGCAGGCAGGATGGCACAAGGAACATTCTCGAGGAGCAGAGTGTTTCCTGTTAGGGCGTTGTCATGCATGTGACGTAGCCGTGCCTGGACAGCGTGAGCCGCCGAGCTCATCAAGCTCACTTTCAACACACCTTCTCGTCTTCAGCTTTCCTCCGTAGCTCACGCTTGTCTTCCCTGGACATATTTATGGTGGCTTCACAAATAGCACAGGGCTCTTCCTGAGTTGAGCGTGGTACCCACTGAGGGAACAAGCCTTTGATAATGTCACCAGCCTTGTGACCGTGTTTAGCAATGTTATCCGCCCGCAAGATAGATAGAACAGTGCTACCTTGGTGGATATGCTCTTTCGTGCTGTGGACACCAGCGACAGTTGACCATGTTCGCACACAACATGCCCAAGATACTCTGGGGCATCGGGTGGCGCATCTCCTTGCAGTGGTGTGTGCATTTTGGGCTTCTGCAATCGCCAGTCTGTGTGGATGGAATTAGTAATGTGCTGCATACTATCATACGACGATGAACACCTTTGAGCCAATTCTTGGATATCCAGTGGCCAGGTTGATCGGGAGTTTCATCACAAACCGCATCGAACTGTGCTACCAGTCGAGGATGTTCGACTTGATACAGTTTTTCTATTTGGACAATGAAGCAAAATCCTGGAAAAAGGAGACTCGAACTTGCCTATGAATGATTCCCTGACACAAATCTCACAAACGCCATGCACCTGGCATACCGGAGAAATTTCACACTCGCCAAACTCAGTGAGCTGTTCATAAGCGCTCTAATAATTTAGATGATTTAGTACTACACAGGAGATTGCTTAATGGACTCACAGCGGAGACACGCTTCATATTGTTAGCTCTTTGGGGATCCAGGGCGTCGTGCTGGCAAAGGATGTCTGAAGTTGGCAAAATTTCGGGTGTGGTTTCTGGTTCCTCTCCACTCTTAGGTTTGGTTTTCGACTTGGCAAGAGGTTTGGACAACCATCGTTCGAGAGCTTGACGGCTTATAATGACGGAGTCCTGGGAGCGATCATAAACAACGTGAACATATAAAATGGAGTAAATCAAGCACCTCATCCATAGAATTGATGCTCCAAGAAGAATAGACGTCTTTCATCTTCTTGAGCAACTTACTAAAATGTTCCTTCGCTTCTTTTTCCCTAGAACACCTGATGAGAAGAAGTCATTTCGAGTATCGAACTGGCTTGCCTCTTCGCATATGCGTCACAGGCCATGTCATGAGCTGCATTCAGACTATTTACAACCTCCTGAGCGCGCGGGGGAGGGGAAAAACTTCCAGCATCAACCGCCATGTTTGTATGCTCGGATCCTTGACTAGCAATGGTCGCTGCTGACCCGTTGGCATTGTCTGAGGATCGAACATCCTTGCGAACATAAATAAGCATATAGACGTCTTTCGATAAAAAGATGTCCCTGGACGTTTTTGAAGAGACGAAATCAGTGGTACTTCAGCGACAAGGGTATTCAGTACTCAAGACTGTGCTGTTTTGCCTCGGGGATCTTAGGTTCCGTGGGTGGTGACGAAACTCTACCGATCAGGATTCAAAAAGACCTTGCCAGTAAAACCTTCAGTGAACTCACTCAACAACGTCATCGTCGCTATCATCGATCCGCCGCTTTTTCTTTGCGGGACGTCCACGGGGATTTCCAGTACTTCCCCTGCCGCAAAATCGTTTAGTTCACTTTTTCGATAATTTGACCATACATACTTCTTGGGGTTCCCGTTCAGAACATCAACTATATCACGGCCAGTGTATCTCCTCTCTCCGAGTGAATCAATCTTCGTGACGTTTTCATCGTCAAACTGAAACCACGTATTCGATCTGTGCCATCCTCAATACGCCACGCGAACACTCGTCGGTTCACTCACGCAGTATCCAGAACTTGAGCCTCATAGTGACCGTGATATGCACTCGGTCCCTTGTGTAATAAAACGCCTCTGAGCTCATAGATGTTCTTTCTGGCACCTTTGTCGCTACTTGCCGCTTTTCGGGCGGCAGCAGAGCCTACAAATTGGTCCATATCAAGCGTCGTTGGGAACAGAAGATTGTGTTTAGACTTCTTGCGCTCCATGGAGGCAAAGTCGTAAACAAATCGTAAGAGGGAGAAATGGAGTACAGGGGGAAGGTTTCGCAACTCAGTATACCGTGTGGCATCCTGGAGCGACTCGCATCTCGAACACAGGTACCTGGTGAGCACGCGTGAGTGACGTGTTCGGATACACAATGCACCTCTTCACAAACTTGTTGTCACCAGTGAGTTTCTCGTCCTGTAGAAGAGCGGCGATACGGTCCTCCAGCCGAGCATTGTTCTGAGCGAAGATTACATTAGCTCACAAGAAAGAGTATGTGAAGGGCATCAATGACCTCGATATTTATTTCAAGCTCAAGGAAGTCCGTAGACCGCTCAGACTTATTGTGGCAATTGCCACAGATCGTGCCGTATACTTGCTCCCCTTGAAACTTTAGCGACATCAGTTCATCGGGCACATCAGGCAAGGAGAGGATCTACCTGGTTGGATACAAGTGATCTTAAAGATGGTGATGACTGCTTCTGGAATTCAGCATCAAGGTGAGACATAAAAAGCTTTGAGAACCTGTTTAAATCGTGAGGAAATCTTTCAAAGTCGACTAATAATGACAGACTCTTGTGCGTCTTGCTGTTCTGAGGTTGAAAGCTTTAAGCTTTCGGCAAGTCTTTCAGGATTGAAGACGTTTTGGGTGCATTCCTGCAATGCAGTAAACGTCACTTGTAACTGAAATATGGGCGAATCCTAGGCGCAAGTTTGATTTATATGCACTCATTTATCATCTGCTCACCAACCTCAAATACGTCTTCCTTATCTTGTGAAGGCTGACACATATAGACACCATTGCGAAAAGCCAAGTCTCGGAACCACACCTTGGCGCTTATTCTAATCAGTTCGAAATGATGAAGCGAGAAGATACCTACTTGAATGAAGGCGTTCGCATAGCACGTTGCGCCAAGATTCTGAATTACATATATGAGTATGACTCGTTGTACGATCCCAGAGAGTACATTATTATGTTTTACCTTTAAGCCAACAGGAAGTTCGGGATCCCGGGCGTTAAGCACTGGGTTGAACCCTAGGTCAGATGCCTTCAGGAATAATTCCCTGACTTTGTCTAGGTTCATAACATGTGTGTTAATCTTGCGATGTAGAATGTCGCGTCAGTAGTCTGTAAACTCACCTTCATCTTTCCATGTCTCTTGTCCGAGGTAATTCAAACAATTGGGGTTGTTCTTGCACAACTTCTTACTGCATGGTGTTGGTTCATCATCCGAGACAACGATTACGTCGTCTCCCGGCTCGCCACCTGCGGATTCACGCTTGGGAGTAGGGCTGCTATGCTTCTCTGGCTTGTGTGCGTACTTGTTGGCACAGAGCGGGTTATTACTTCTCCGAGAAAGGCCACACGACATAAGGCGATGTTCCAAGGTGATCTGAGAGGAACAGGTGACCTCCGTGCCAACCCAACCCCATGGATCGCTGGCAGGCAATTTGCCTCGTTTAAGTTGTTCCCCTGCAGCTAGTCCCTTAGGAGCCGGTGACGAGCGATGTTTGCGCTTCGGAGGCATGACCGGTTAATGGAAGCTGAAAAGCGGATTTGGCTATAAAGATGATGGAGGGAGAAGAAAGAAACGTGGACGAGTTAAACCCGGAAACAGGGAGGAGCAACTTGACTTCCATAAACTCAAATAATCTGGTTCCGCCGAAGGTTCCGCGCTAACAAACTCGACCACGTTACGTAACTGGTGCTCTTTGCTTGAAACCACAGATCTCTATGTTCTGACTCGTTCGTTGCATAAACGTGTTCCATCTTCACGCGTCTCTAGGATACTTGTGACCGGTCACCACTGTGACCCCATGGACAGAATACGAGGTTTCATACGGCGCCCCAGGAGGCCAGACGCGGATGTTGCAAGACTTCGACGGCGAAGACAGGCGGCTGCCTATATCCATCGTAATTTAACAAAATTGACGTTAGTGAAGTTTCCATTGTTCGCTCTCTCGCTGATGTTGCGCAGGACCACCTTGTTTATCATTGGATATGCGTGGATGCTGCTTATCCCTATACCGTTGCTCTCTCAAGGAACATACATAGACGAGAATGCGCTTCAGCCAGCGCAAGTACGTGTGCATATTGATTGCTTGTCACATAAACTAATGCAACCACAGGTCAATACGTATTGGAACTGGGGTGATGTTCACACAGCAGACTTGCAGCTGTACCAACTGGATGGTATTCGAGAACGAAATCTCACGAGTGAACAGTATGCCATTCTCCCCTTTGGACATTCGACTGCCCGAGCTAATATTATCGACAGAAGAGCGGAATTCTTCAGGACCGAATTCGGCAAGCTTGGCCTTGCTGCTTCCATACAAAATTATACTTTTAGTACCAGCAAAGGAGTGAGTTTTCTTGTTCAGCAGTCAGGTTGTTATAAACATGTGCCAGGCCATCTCAGGCAACAATGCGTATGCTGTAATGTCATCGCCTCGGGCCGCTGGAACAGAAGCAATGGTGATCAGTGCATCATGGTTAAGCAGGGCAGGGCACGGCGCACTGAATTTGCGTGGGACATCTACTGTATTATCCCTCGCTGCATTTTTAAAAGGTAGAGTTATTGAGTGGCTTCCAAATCCCTGATATACGACACACTTGGCAGATTATTCCTTATGGGCGAAAGATATCATCTTTATCATCAGCGACGACTACCTTCATGGAATGCATGCGTGGCTGAATGCATACCACGGCACAATACCATCGAGTATGTCGTCTTGTGTCTGCAGAGTCAACTTAGCTTTGATCCTCTTGTCCACTAGATCTTCATACAGACCCTCTCGAGCACACCTCGGGGGTCATTTGGACTGCTTTGAATATTGACTACAGTAGTCATTCTTTTTCACACCTCGGTGTCTTCCATGGTGGGCTAAACACCTACCATCTGAGTCTCTGATTACTCACGGATGCCTACAGAGGGCTTAAACGGACGTCTCCCAAATCAGGACCTCATCAATTCTTTCCGACTAATCTCACATTATACAGGCGGCGTCCCAATGACAGTGTACGATCACCTGGAGCTGTCGGATTCCGTTGATCGATTGCCGGAGCAGAGCGTCTTTCCGTCATGGGTTCCGCCTTTTATTCGGCAGAGTCCACAACTTCAGCAATACGGGTATCGCATGCGGAATGTAGTCCGACACATCGGCTACCAGGCTCGCGGCATGTGCAGCGGGGTGCATGGCCTAATGCATCAGTAATTTTGTTGTTCTTAGTAGCTAGTATGGGGGATACTGACTTGATTCAGATTCCGTATCGATGCAATCACCTTGTTTGCCGTTCCAGCAGACGGACCGCATGGGTTCCATGCACTAGGAAGGTAAGTAACCACAATTTATCTATTACTCCCAACTACAGCAACTTCTGCTAGAATCGTCGAGTCTACGCTCAGAACAATGAATAACCTTTTAGAGCGTTTACACGCTTCCTTCTTCTTTTATATCTTGACCAGCCCTGGGACTTTCATGAAGATTGGCTTGTTTCTTCCCAGTGCCATCCTTGTCAGCGTTGCCATGTTATTCAAAGGGCTTGGGGAGTGGGTGACTGCGGGGTGGGTTTGCGAAATATCTGAGGCCTCTTTGAAAGGCAGCGAGGCCGAAAAGCCTAGTCCTGCGAAAGGCACATGGAGAAACAGGCGACGACCCTTGTTGTCCGCGCTTATCGTTGTGGTGACTACTCATGTTTTAGGAGTTCTCGTATTCAACCTAGTTTGCAGTCGATGGTTTGCTGAGTATCCTTCGGTTAGTTGTTTGACTACCTGCGGTGCTATATGCTGATCCTATCCGTCCCGTAGTTTCTTGCACCAGCTATTTTTGCCGCTGTGTCTGTGATACCTCCAATGCTCCTTCCACTGCTTTCAACAAACGCCCCGGAAGCAGCTCCAACTTCAATGCTCCTGAAATCGTCGAATTTATGCCTAGCATCAACAGTGATATCTATCATGTCCCTACTAAACTTTTCCCTCGCCGCCATGCTTGCTATAACCATGGGTGTCCCTCTGGCGACGTCATATACATCCTCAAGCACGATGGCCTCTCATTTGCGATATGCTGGCTACTGTGTACTAGCATGGGGCTGGTTAGTGTTGGTACCTGGAGAGGTTCAAAGCGCGATCTGGAACTGGGAGGTGCTAGGTGTATGGTTTGCTCCGTTCATATGTATCGTGTACGCCCCGCTCGTCATGCAAGCTGCTATTGTATGTCTACTGGGGTTATAGGTCAATGGTAGCGTAATGTCAGAATGTACAAGCGATGGGTTTAAAATGTAAAGCAAGCACGGCGCAATGAGTGTGCAGTACCGTATCAACCAATGTCCATTGCGGCGTGGTCGTCGGACCCAAATAGATCTCCCATTGTTTGATCTACTTCTTCCTGAGTAGCTCCCTCTGGGTCTGTGTCTGGATCTTCTGGCGCAATACCCTCCCTCTTCCGCTGTTGTCTTTCTTTCATCTCATCTCTCTGGGCAACCTTCATTTCAAGGTCAGCTGATAATTTCCGTAGTGCATCCTCAAACCGTTTCTAGAAGCAACATGAGAATCAGAACATGAAAATAGTGTAGAAATAAATACCTTGATCAGAGGATTTGCAGAGCTGGCAATTTCAGTTTGCTTCTTCAATACGGCAGCTTCAAGGTCCCTGATTTCTTCATTCAATAACTTCCTCTCCTGCGCTTCTTCGTCATCGTCGTCCTCATCCTCTTCCTCACTTTCATCCTCCTCGTCATCCTCCTCGTCGTCACCCTCACCCTCCTCGTCTTCATCACCGAGGGCAAGATCTAGTTCTGCGGCGAGGTCTTCGTCGATGTCACCTTCACCTTCATCTTCTTCTGCTTCCTCGGCTTCCCCCTCATCTCCCCCGAAGTCTGGTCCTGGCGTAGGAGCATCGCCTGCCTCCGAGCCAACGACACCGGGTGTGGGTGCATCCATAGGCTCATCTCGTTCGATGAATTCCGAGTCGGAAAGATCTGGGTTGACATTTTCCAGAACATCTAGCCGCAGAGCATTTTAAAACACACCCAACTCCGAAACATGATGATCATACCATATTTGACCTCCGAAGCAAGTTCATCCGTGGCCAACAACCGCTCGACCGCCTCCTCGACACTTTCAATGGTCTACTTGGCAGCGTCAGAATCACGCGTGTGAAAATGACCATACGGGGGACGTACCCTCTTGTTAACCCTCTTTCGAAATCTTCGTTTGCGAACTTGGTGCAACGGCGGCGTGATACCGTGCGGCCAAATGAACTCATCGACATTCACATTACGAGTTGTTGTAAACGACTCCTCATTTGGAATGCGGTTTTCAACCACAAGCATCTGCAGGCACGTTAGTGGAACATACGACAGAACGAGCGAGACAAGTAACCTGACATATGTCTGCTACTTTGAACATTTGCTTGTTGTCCAAGGTCTTCTGCGCTTCAATGATACATGGAAGATCGACAAGCTTGAAGGAATACAAGGTATTTCCAATATGGAAGACCCCTCGGCGGGAGTCTAGGTAAAGTTCGAGCAACCCGACCACTGTGAGAGGAGGCCACTCGCCTTTGAATTTAAACCATATATCATTCCCGACTTCTCTGGAGGAAACTATCTTGCGCAACCTTTCACAATCATCCCCAGGCGGCATGCGGATGATGAATTGTTCTTCAAAAGCAAGGTCCTCATCATCTGAGTCCAACTCCCGATCATATGAACCCAGGAATGACATTCCGGGAGCCTGCGCAGCTGCTTTATCGCTGAGCTTGAGTTTTAGCTTTGGTTGGGGCCGGTTCTTTGCTAATGATGAGCGCGTCGTTCGCTCGGAAGGCTCGGGGGTGCCCCTTAGACGAAGGGTTGTAGCCATTGCATGTTCTGCGGCGGCACGAAGGGGCCGTGTTCTCTGCGGTTGAGTGGGAGGGATCGGCTTAGCGCCATTGACGGTAGACGGGCCCGCTTGTTGTTCGTCAATATCGTCCACGACTATAAGGTCGTCATCCATGATGTGGTCGATGATAGCTCAAAGCTGGCTCAATGTGGTCCAAAATATCATTTCCGTCACACCAGACGTGACGGTCACAGTGTACTTATACTCGACAATCGAGATTAAGTCTTGTGCAGGATCCTGTATGGTTAAGCAATGGAATCAGGATACATAGAACTGCGTTAGACTTAGAGGTACACGAGGTACCGCTGCCATGGTTTATTAATGAGGCGACCATCATCACAGTACGAATGTAGTGCAGCTACAAGCGCATCTAGAGATTAGTAGGATCATCCTACTCGGACCCGTCTTGAGCACCTTCCTCGTCTCCATCCTGAGTACCTTCATCTTCATCTTCCTCTTCTTCGCCTTCTTCTTCCGTAACCTCTGCTTTATGTTCTTGGTCAGCCCCACGCCTCTGCACACGTCGAGGTCTCCTGTTGGCCCTCACGTCGATGACCTTTATCCAGAGTTGAACGGCGTAGGATGCCACGCCGCCAAAAGCAAGCGCAAGCCATATCCATCGCATGCGACGAAACCGAAGGTCTACTTCATCCATTTCGCTCTTCGTTTTGGGAGAGCCACTCAGGGGTCGTGGTATTAACGACAGCAACGACTGTTTTTGCGCAGAAACGACAAGATACTGCCGCGGTATTTGTGAAACTTCTGTCTGCACATTGCGCGCATGCTCTACGAGCGTCGGGTATGACTCCTCTAAAATACTTCGCATTAATTGGTCCGGGAATGGCGGATCAAGCAACAGGAGAACGTGCGAGGCTAGGTAAACATCAAGAGTTGTGGGCCTAATGACGTGCTCAAACAACACAAAAGGCAAAAACGCGAGTCTTACTCACCGCTCCCCAAAGAAAAACTTCTGGCCATTCAGTAACCTCGCATAAAGAGCAAACAATGCTTTCGCTTGCGCAGATACCTGTAAGGTAGTAAACATCATATCCATCTAAGCAGACGAAGAGTATTTCACTTTGTCCCGTTCAAAAGCGCGCGCATACTCGTCTTTAGGGTCATCTTTTTTTTGTCGTTTCCCAAAGGAGTCTTTCTCTGTTTCAGAGGCTGCCTGTGTCCACAGACCTGCAGCCTCTAGGCGTGGTCGATGCATTTCACGTATACGTCCAGGCACATAGTAGCGCTGCGGAATTGGAAGCATAAATGCCATGGTGGGATTTGTGAGTTTCCAGAAGTTGTCGTCCAAAGAATAGAACGAATATGCCTATAGTAGTATCAACCATTGAACGGTCTGCATATGTCATGTATGTACTCACCACGAGGTCCCCAATATTCGCCTCAACATGTGAGCACCAAGCGGTTCGCTTTGCTCTTTGTGGTGCACTTAAAGACGCGTTGAGATCCCTTGCACCTGACGAGGTAGACTTTGCCAGCGAGGAAACGAAGGAAATGATGGCTGGGACGGATGACACTGTGGCATGGCCATGTGTGAGGAAGGGAAGCTTTCCTACAGCGTAACGCTATGAGATGCAAGCCCAAACAATGAGGCATATAAACGCACCGCTAGGAGACACGTCGGGGTTAGTACATTCTACAACTTCGAATTTCCCTGGAATGGTCAGTTGCAGGTAGAAAACTGCTGCAATACATGCGGGGTCAATAGATGGTAGATTCCATCTAGAAGGCCAAATGTGCAGCGTGCAGAAGGTTGGCTGTGTAGCTGCTGTAGACATCATAGCATCCGAGAAGGCAGAAAGTTATGTACTATTTAATTGACCGGCGTTGTTTGTCGACGGCTTTAGAATTCAACATGCACATACAAGTCCAAATACTCCCGCTTTGCCATTGTCTGCCTTTATGCTATGACTATCAGAGTAGCTCTTATTGTGAACACAGGCATCCATTCCTCTGACATTCAGTAACTTGCACTGAAATGCCTCCATACCATGTTCCCCTGAAGTTGTCCGTAAGTGATGACATGCCAGATGCATGGTTAACTATTTTACAGCTGCACGAACACCCTAATTATCATAACAGAAATATTCTTCAAGAGATAGCAGTCCGACAGATACCAGACAGCACATCGAAACAAACAACAGAACAAGAACGAGATCATATGCTCTCGCTTAAATCACATCTCATCACTCGGCTCCGTTCAATCTACTGCTGTGCTGTCCGACTCTTGAGGCGCACTGTATGGGCCTTGCATAAACCTACTTGGGTCGAGCGGAGGACCGACTTGAAAATCGAGTATTGTTTCCCCGGGAAATTTATCATGCCTTCCCCGCCCCCCGACGCTCACGGTCCTGGCACCGGGTGCAGGCCAGACTCGACCTTGCCCTGGAGAGAAGCCATTCTACAGGACAAACAAATATGTCAGTTGGATGGTACGGTGAAACAACCACACTCACGAGTCGCTCAGACCGTTCAGCCTTTTTTGAGTTAGGGGGACTTGGGCTCGGGGTTATTGGCACGTTCATCGATTGCGCAACGGGTGCGCTGGCGACCCGTCGTTTCGCAGGAAGACTTTTTGGCACATGCAGTTCAGTAGATATTATTCCTTGCGCCATCAGCCACTCTAAAATCGTTGCTATTAGGATGAATCTTCACAAGGAACTCCAAACTCACCGGGAGACCTGTACCGGAACAGAAAGGTAACGTGTGACCTCATACCGTGCTGGTCGGATGGCTTCACCTTCCACGTCATAGGTGATTGCGTGTACGTGTTCGTCTCCTGGGCGTACCTTGGAAATTTTTGTCAGACACGAAAACATCAACGGACCCTACTTGTACGCACCCAACACAATGATCGCCTGGGTGACTTTGCGAGTTCAAATCTGGAATACTCTGCAGTGGATTTGCTGCCTTCGACCCATCCAGCGTGACAAGTTTAATCTTGAGCATGATGGATCCAGCGTCCTTCATGTTTTGCCCGCTTGTACCTGTTGAATATGAGCCTTCATGCCAATGTACCGATTATTTGTCATGACTCACCTGAGCTTGGCCTCTGTGCAAACATGAACGGCCTTTCTGTCTGCGGACCTGATCTTACGCCATTCCTCCAGGCCTCCCCTTCGCCAAACAAGAACCGACCGGGAACTACGAATCCGTCGAGCGTAATAAACGCGCATGAATGCACTTTTGTTCCTTCATCTCTCCAGTATACCGAAAAAGTCTGGTTGCATCGGTGAGGCACGTCGAGATTAGATGAACGAAACGAGTTACCTTTCCCACCTCACTTGGGATCCAACACGAGATTGTGTTTGGATTGTCTGCAACAGCGACAAGATACTCTGGAATTGGTTTGCCGTCAGAGATTATACATGCGGAGAAGTTACTACGCGTAAGCATGTTGCGTGATGTTGACCGTGTTTGAGGACAGGGATGATACGTTAATTAAGGACCGTAAGCACCAGAAATGAAGGTTGTGCCGCGTCGTGTTGAGAGCCTGAAAGTGAAGGTGGACTGTTTATAACTAGATTGGCACTGATAGCTTTGGCGTAGCTTACACACAGACTATGTTACAGAAATAGAGCTGCTGCTCTTAGACTTGTCCAAAGCGCGTAAGTTTAAGTTGCGGAAGACCTGGCAGGCAAGGTTGGTTTTTAAGCACCTCAAATAAATTTAAACATGCGCCCACAATTATGCTCGATTAGGAAGGACAGAACTTTTAGTCTGGTCCATGGCATTGTTAACGCGACTTAGCCTCCACAATCCACAACTTTGTGCGTTGTCCACGATTGGCCCACGACCAGCTTCACCACTATCTCGCCACCTTCACGCGTCTTTTTTGACCCGCCAAATAATGCCACCTAAAAATAAAACTGCAGCAAAGCGTAAAGCGGCATCCGAGTCACAATCGGATAATGAAGCCACACAGTCTGCTTCAAAGAAGGCCAAAGTATCGAAAGACTCACCAGAGTCTGCCGTTGCCGCCAACGGCCAGCCTACTAACAAAGTACTACCCGTCAACATCAGTTTTCCAGCTCGAATAGCAGGCACAGTTCGCCTGTCAACGTGGAATATTTGTTCGCTTGCATCGGCTTCCAAGAAAGTGCGCACAATGGACTCATATTGTGCTGAATTCCTAATCATCTCGGTGTTGTATCCCATCAGGGGTTCAAATTCTATGTTGAGGCGGAGGATCCAGACGTTCTCGTGCTAACAGAGACCAAGGTACATACCATGTTCTAGTCCTACTAGTCTTGCTAATACTCGTATGAGGTGAACGAAGTTCCAGTGGACCCATTCCTAACGTCGCGATTCCCTCATTGTACCTGGGCTATATCTTCCAAGAAGACATACTGTAAATGACCTCATTGGCTCCCCGCTTCTCTAATTTCAACTCGACGTAGCAGGAACAGCCGTGCTTTCCAAGCACAAGCCTCTATCTGTAGACACAAAGCTTCCGGGACATCCAGACCCAAGTAGCGTCAAGGGCCGTATCATCACGGTGGAATTTCCCGGTTGCTATATTGTAGCTACATACGTAACGAATGCTGGTCAGGGGCTCAAGGTCAGATCATCAGATATATGACGTGCACACTTATTCATCTATCCCAGACCCTGAAGGAGAAAAACACATGGAACGAGCACTTCACCACGTATATCCGGGATCTAGACAAGAAGAAACCCATCATATGGATGGGTGACCTCAACGTCGCGCCAACCGCAATAGGTGCACGATTCACATCATCGTCTGTGGTTTTGGCACAGTGTATCTTACATTTTTATATTCAGACTTGGCAAATCCAAAGTCAAATTGGAATAAGACACCTGGATATACAAAAGATGAAACGGAAGCGTTTCAAAATATTCTCAACCCTCCTGAATCTGCTGCTGGAGTTGGCAAATTTGTTGATGTCTGGAGGCAAAATCACCCAGAAGACAAACACTACACATATTTTTCATATCGTTTTAATTGTCGGACCAAAGGCCTTGGTTGGAGATTGGATATGTGTAAGTTGTCAATCTCTGCTAGGTGACTCATCCTAAATCAGCATCCATCTACCTAGTTGTGGTGAGCGAGCGACTAGTGGAAAAGGTCAAGATGTGCGAGATTAGAAGTGAGATCTACGGCGCATCAGACCATGTGCCAGTGGTGATGGAAATAGAGAGCGATGTTGTTACAGGAAGCTAAACTCTGTAGCACTCGCGATATGTGAATATCCACTATCTTCCGCGCGTCAGTTTCCTAGTGAAATACATAAGACATAAAGGTGGTGGTATGGATAAGTCAAGAATCCGGATATCATTCATATTCTCCGAATCGTACATGCCCCGTCTCCTGGGCGTGCATTCTCGCATCCTTCTCGCCCTTCAATCCCTTGCCACAGTCCTATGCGGATGCATCAATTATCCGTTGTGCAGATCATTCGACGAAATTGCTTGCTTACTTCACACTTGATATCAAACGTTGCAGTGTTAGTATATGCTTTCTTTCCCCGCAGGATAGTGGCTAATTCTTTAGCAGCAGACAAAATTGGATCATCTTCGTCCGCGGAAATCTAATATCAGGGGTAGTTAACCTTAAGATGGCATGCACGATACTGATGCGCTCACGATCGGAAAGACAGTCTGATGCCATTCAGGCGGAGCATCAGCCATGGGCGCCAATGACGCGGCATCATAATGAATGCCGGAATAGATCACGATGCAACTGCGTACCAAAACGTTAAAAGGTGTTTCTAAAGGCTGAGGGCCACACAGGGTGCCTACCGGTTGCCTGTGCTCGCCTCTAATGGAGGTTCAAAACGATCAAACCTTCCGGTTTCGACATCAATAGATGCAATTTCCGTGCCATAATGCTTGGCGAGGATTCCAAGTTCAATTGCACCTCCCCATGTCGCAGGCTTCTGAATGGTGGCGATGTATGCATCTCGGCTCAAGCTGCAAATTCGAATCAGCTCTATATCACACTGTAGTACGCGGTGAGGCCAGTTACCCCAGAATAGCTTCGTTGTAGGTTTCCATGTCTGCTCGGATGCCATCGGCAACGACTGATGTGGAGATCGCCGATCAGTCAATCTGACGGATTCTGAACCGATATGATCATATGGCTGACCTTGCCGTATCTTTTGCGCCTTGCGGGAATCTTGCTCAAAGATGAGGGCGATCGACGAAAAAAGACACGAGTTATCGTCTGGCACGATCTATGGCGCGTGACAGATAACCGATCAACATAGGAACGCGTTACCTTACCCTGTGCACTAACACGCCGTTTGGTGTGTCAACGTAGTCTGGACCGCTACTCCTCGGTGCGAGCCTGCTTGAATTTGGTTGCGACAAAGAGGCTTGAGGTGACTGAGAAGACACTGGCTTGGCCTTGGGTGGGGAAGGCGGGGCGCGCACCGAGCTCGAAATGTTCTGGTTTACGATGATCTGATCACCGGACTTTAATCCCAGACTCGAAAGTGGAAGCTCTGGGATAATTGTGAGCGATCGTGGTGGGTACCCCGATCTAACTAACGTGTACAAAAATCACGGTTAAATGAGGTTGTTGCACGCGCTTGCATGGTACATACGTTCTTGCTGTGATGGTGGGATTTCAGACACTCCAAATATCTCCTGCTGGAGATCTTGAACTAGAGCATTATCGAGGTCGATCTGCAACGTCGTGATCCCCTTGGGGTGTCGCAAACGAATGGGTGCCATTGAATGTGAATGTGGGAGACGGTGTTAAGTAGGGAATGAAACAGCCTGAGCTTACAGGACCAGGTCATAAGGAGATTGCGTCATCAAGTTAGGAACATTGTGCGCTAATTATAGTAAGGTGTCCTCTTATGCTGCCTCTGCCATCCGCCTGGGCGCGGCCTCAGCCTGAACTGGTGTACCTTCTGGGATATGAACTCCAATGCCATGAAGCTTCTCCACAACCGCCTGTTCAGCCGCCCTCAGCTCTCTCCTTCTCTGCCTCTTCCACCAATGCGTTTAGTTCGGCTTCTAGTTCCATATCATCTATGCCCGCGTCTACTGCAGCCATGTCTCCGCCCATTCTGATAGCGTCGTCTATCTCACGTGCATCAGCAGTTGATGTCGCAAGCGCATCCATTGTCTCTTCAATCTTGTCGCGTTGAAGGGAGGGGTGGCTAAGGATTGCTTTTAATGTTGCCGTCGAACTCTCATACGTCTTCATAATCTGAAGAGGTTACTGGTGAGCAATACGGAATCTACAGAAGGGGAGGGGTAACTCACTTCCACATCACCCGCGGCCGTCTCGACGCTCATCAATGTTGACTCTAGGTTATGAAGGGATCCCAGACGCTTTGAAAGCAGGTCATCCAGATGTTTCTTAAACCGCAACTCTGCTAGTGCAATTGACTTGCGCTGCTGACGCAGGGCGTTTGAGATATTTGACGTGGTCCTAGATGTATGAATGCGTTATTCGACGACGTGCTGTGGAAAAAACGCGCTCCTTACTGATCAATTTTATTCTGGATGCTATCCACCTGTTCACAGAGATTTCTCACTGCTGTCTTAAGCTGAAGAATACCTTGATCTATGGCAGTGATTTCCCGATCATGCATCGCTGTCACAAATTTAATGACCTCGAAATGATGTCAGTCAGCAGATAAGATATACGACTGAAACACCTACATCGCCATTCTGTACAACCACGCGTCTTTCCCGTTCAAGAAATTTGATCAGGACTTTGGTATCTATCTCGCTCAGCACAACTCCGGGTAAGACTTTGGCCCCGAATTCCCTGCGAAAGTCTTCGAAAGTGTACAGGTTGTCAGCTGGGCTGAATCCGGTGCCGTCTCGCAGAGTTTCAAGGGTATCAGCCGCCTGTACGACAAGCCCAAGCATGACGTAGTCCCCTTCTATCTTCTTCCACGTCTCAGCTTCTGTGTAAGAATCTTCTGAGCGAACTATGTCAAGCTGCTCCATGGCCCACCATAGTGGTTTTCCGACCACAAAGGAAGCAATTCGGTATGGGAGCCAGCCAGGGTCGTACACAGACTGCTGTGAAGTAAGAAATTGGGAGAGTAGCATTATATCGTTACTTCGTCGCATCTCGGCCTTTACTAGTGCAGTGCGGTGAGTCAAATACCAAAAAATGTAAGAGCTGCGTAATGACGCACTATGGTGCTTCCGAGGCCGAGAGGCTTGCCAACACCTTCATAGCGCAACTTATCCACCAGCGTTCTTCGTGCTCCTAGTATAAGTTTGTTGCTTGTTCCGTCAGGCCCGTCACTTCCCTGCCAACCTCGCGAAATGACATCCTTGAGCGTCCCGTGCCACCAGTCAACGTAAGCATGGAAAGAAGAAGGGTTGGAATGTTTCTGTTTGTGGATATCAGAATACAGCGAGTGTAGACGAGATTTTGATGTTGATACATAGTTTGGCAGTGCAGACAGAGCTGGAGATGACATGGTTGTTGACAACACAATAGATGCAAGAACTTTATATAACGAAAGCCACGGCCCACAATCCATGCTTGGGTTACAACTCAATTGTGCTCAAAGTCACATGATTCACTACTACTTTAAGCTCTTATTACAGGCTACAAATGAGAACTAGCTGGATCTCTCAGACGGAAATCATTCCAAGTCCTGCCATGATAATCACCGACTTACTCGGGCGGCCAGTTTCCAGGCTGAAATGCAAGATGAGCAGAAGAACGTGAATCGTCGTCAAACTCTAAACTTACGAAGTATCTTTGGTGAAGTTTTCCTCCAGTAGTGTCTATAAGGGCAATCTCCTCAGGTGTAAGCTCCGGTACATTTTGAGTGTCAAGGTATTCCCTGATGCGTTCGGCTTTCGACGAGGTTCTGCGATGACGTAAGCATTAGCTGGTGAATATAGGGATTAAATCTCACGTCACTACGAGAACGCCTTTCTGTTGAAGCCATTTGTTCAATACCTGACCATCAGACACAGGGGCGCCACGAGTTTTTTCCAGACGTGCGCGGATTTGCTCGACCACGGGGTCTAGTGGGCCACCTTTTCCACGGAAAAGAGGTGACAAACCACCATACGACGACGTAACGATTTTGTATTGGTCGTGGATGGCAAGGTTCGGCTGCAACGCTTTCCATACATATGGATGAGCCTCAACCTATTTATGTGGTTAAATGAGGGTCATCACTCCGGCGGGCTTATAAAACTAACCTGGTTGACCGCGGGGGGTATAGTGGCAACTTCCAATATACTCTTCAGGTGGTCAGCAGTGAAGTTGGAAACTCCAATGGACTTGGTTAAGCCCGCCTTCTGAGCTTCTTCCATCCCTTTCCATGTCTCCTTTAGCTTTCCGACGTGGTTGCTGGGTTGGTGGATAAGGTATAAATCGACGTAATCCACTTTTATCTGCCTCAAGGACTCCTGGAGTGCGCTCTTGGGAGTTGCACCAGGTTGCAATTTTCCGAGCTTCGTGGTTATGAAGAGCTCGGACCTGGACTTGCCAGAAGCTACTATCCCGTTCCCCAGCGTGTCCTCGTTGGCATAGACTTGTGCACCATCGAGGTGTGTAAAGCCATTGTCGATAGCAAGGCGGATGGCCTTTTCAGCGTCCTTTTGATAGAGCGCAGTGCCAGTGCCAAAAGCTATCCAGGGGACCTGGTACCCGTCATTCAAAGGGAGTGTAGATACAGTCATTATGGATGATGAATTTGCAAAATGGCTTGAATGGAACCCAATTATTGTGTGATGCTTTAAATTCGGTTTCTTGAAGCACTTTACTAATGAAGCGGACCTCCGTAACATGACCGGTGACTATGGAGTGCGATAACGCATTAATTAAGGTACACCTGCGATTGCCATACCACCGTGAGATGGTCTATATTCTTAACGATGGGCACCATATGCTGTGATAAATCTCCTATACGCGTGCCGAGGAGCTGCGACTAGTGATATATTGATAGACCAGCCCTAAAGAAAAACGTGTGTATTTAACTTTGGGCTTTCCCTCCGATATCTTTTAACAACTTCCAGGTGCTTGTATACCACATGTTCGATTGTCTGTACTACTGGCAATCTTTCATCTCGTAGCACCTCAGATGAGTATGGTTCACCCTTTGGCCGGCCGTTCTAGCTCTTCGAATGCTTCGGTCACCAGGTGTACCGACATTTGAATTTTTTTGCCGTCTTGAGATACACAATCTAATATTATTTTAGTGCATGATATGATGATATGAATATCCTTCAGGACCTCAGACGACAAACTGGACTTAGTTGCATGCTACCTTTTGCCCACTGGGTCCTTGTCTCGTTCGAGGTTATCAATGCGCAGGATCGAGTATTTATGCAAGTACAGCTCTGTCAAGGAGGTGCAAATGAAAATTGCTTAGGGACCGTCGTTTTTCGATTCTTATATTTAGGAGAGCTACAATATCTCTAGCGTCCTGACATCCATCATGTCGTCAATAGAAGCCATGTCTCTAACTTGTGCAATAGTATCATAGGAAGTAGACGTGTGCATCTCAATCGGGCAGGACTGGTCAAGTTTCTTTATTCAGTCATCGTGTTGGAAAAAAAGTCAGGAGGATAGGTTCTTGAACATCCGGAGATCACTTGATGGGAGCTGCTTGTGGATTCGGTTCCTTCGGATGTGTTTTTTCAATATTTTTTTTTTGGATCAGGAAGAACGCTAGACAAAGAAAAGAGACCCGGGATCGTATTTTACTAGCGGGAGTCAATCCCTACTCCGTAGCATGACCGTGACCGCGTCAGCAAAGGACAGCACCGCCAACGCAGTAATCCTGTGCTTTAAATTTGACCGTGAGTTTTGAACCAGCCGCCTAATGTCTGAGATCTGAGAAGGGAGTGTGTAAACAAGGCGTCTGGAAGTAGAGTATACTTTCAAACTCCGCATATACCAAAAATAGTACGTGTCGCGCTTCTAAGAAGTCCTGGCTCATGAACGCGTCGCGTCCTCTCCGCAATTGTCACAATAGTGCAGCAAAAAACAATGAAAATCTAGTCTTCAACATTCTCAATACATTCGCACCCCCACAGTAGAGAATCCGGCGTGTACCTCCTCAGACAAGGCGGCTGATTCACCAGACTAGTGAGTTTCCTCGAAACGCTATTTTTTATAGCGACTTTCATACATACTACTTCTCAGATACAACTTATTCCTCCTCGCGCACTGGTAGCCGGGCACGATAAAATGCCTGCCATCAAGAAACGTCCTACATTTGATACCCTCAGTTCCTATTATGCGCAGGTGCATACCCTTGCTGCATATATTCGGCAATGTACAAAGGATAGAAGAGGCAACGACTTCTTATTACAGGCGCCCGACTCGGTGCAATATCGAGAACTACTTAGCTCATCACTTGTATGCTTGCCTAAGGTAACCGAGCCTCCTCAATTCCAGTTCTTTGAGCACTATGATCGCATGAAGGATGTGAGTGCAGGCTATTGCTATTTGTTTAATTATTCAGTAAGAATTGTTGGCTGACAATCTGCGGAGGTTATCAAAAGGGCCCAGGAGCACTTGCTCTTATCTCCAAAGTCCAGACCAAACAATATTGTTACATTAGGATACAAGAGGGTGAGGTCCTTATCGCCTTCAATCCCCTGCACACCTGATCACCGCAGGCTTCACTGGATGGAAAAGCGAATTCCCGGGGTATCATCAATTGTTTCGTCAATACAATCATCGTGGCCCTGGAGGCTCCCGAGTGGGAAAAGCTGCTGGAAAGGTAAAGTTGCAGTCTCTCTGCCAGGCTCATTGCTGATTCTTGTTATAGGATCGGATCGGATGCTATGTTGCATCTCCTGACGGAGACCTCCATCTTCGTCAAGTTGCCGAATGAGTGCTTGTGCCAAGTAGCGGGTGAGCTACTGATTCATGTCGTGCCTCCAGAACTCGGTAGGTGCATCATGCAGTCGAGCGAATCGGGCATATGCGACCTCGGAAAGCGGAAGAGAGACCCTTTGGAGGGCTTAGGACAGCGAAAACGGCTCAAGGTCGCCGCATTGAACAATCTTCGGAGAGTTTTCCCCAAGAGCGAGATCAATGCAGCGACAATATCTTTTGAGCGGTGAGAAAAGTCTTTGTCTTCGCTTATTTTACTGACAATTCCATCAGGCGGACAGCAGGCGATGTTTTGTTGGTGCGCGTGCGCACCTTTTATGCGCGACCAAATCGCGTGCCTCAGTCGCAACTCCTTATTGTCGGATTGCCGGCCATCCGTAAGTGCGCGCCACAAATTGATTCGCAATGGTTGACTAATGTCTTAAAGATGTCCTTAACCAGCTCCATCCGTCATACTTTCGCAGAATGCATCTGGTTGATTCTGATACATATCGCGATCCTGACCCGCGGGATCAAGCCCGGAAGGCCCGGCATTTGAGCAAATATATCTTCCCACTTCAATATGGGCTCTCCAACGTTTTTACTTCGCAGTTGCAGGCCAAGGAGCACTATAAGCAGCCGGATTTCGCTGACAGAGAGAACGAGATTCAGGTGAGGTTAGGCAAGGCCTGTCAATGTATACAGGCACTTAATGTACGCATCTTAGCGCCTTGGACCGTGTAAGACCCCGAAACGACTAAAGGATGTGCTTGTGCTGTTGGATAAGATGATATGGCGTCATGGTAAATGCCGTTATAAGCTGCTTAGAGACAAAGTTTGCCCTTCCAAGGCAAGTAAGATATTTGAATGATGGTTTGCGTTGGTTTGAAAGTCGCCCACAGATTATAATGGCGCAGGGGACAACTATGGATAGTAATATCATATTGGTGAGCAGGGAAGTGGTGTATCGTGACACTGATGTGACTATGTATTGTGTAGGAAATAGTTTCCGAAAAGGACTCAGTGCAGCATCAGTCGCGTGTGTCACTTATCCCCAACCCCAAGGAAATAGAACACCAACCGCGATTCGTGGATTTCGCGTGCAGTTACTCCGAAGTACTTGACCTAGGCGCTCCTCATCGCGACTCGCTAATAATTCAATCAGGTCTTTCGATTTGCAGCGGTAGTCACTGGGACTGTCATTCCCAAAGCTTTCTGGGGATGCCAGGCGAATTTCCAGATCATCCTAGGCTGTATGCATGTTCATCCCCCTCATAATTATGTTTTACATGTTCACCGACCTATCAGATATAAAGGAATTGATCGCAAGTCGTCGATACGAAACATCGACGCTGCACTATATGCTGCGAGGTTTTATGATATCAGAATGTGACTGGTTAATGCCACCTGGAGAGGGTGCCCGGAAGCAGCGCAGAGTGTCGGTCTCAGATTCTCTGAAACGCCGCGAACTGCTTGAAGAATTCATTTTCTGGTATTTTGACTCCTTTCTGTTTCCACTGCTCAAAGTTTGTGTTACGCTGCAAATAAAGACAAAACCACAATTGATGCATTCTCTCCAGACCACATTCTATATTACCGAATCCTCCGCGTTTCGGAATCATGTTCTGTATTTTCGGCAAGATGACTGGGAAAAGCTCTGCCAACCACTGATAGACCGGTTCAGTCAGAACATGTTCCGAGAGATAGAGAAGGTGCGTGATGAATTTGGTCCAGTCCCGCTATTTTCAACTTTCTGTAGTCTGAAGCAGAAGAGATCTTGCGGCAGCGACAACTTGGATTTTCCTTTGTGCGGTTTCTGCCGAAGGCAACTGGCGTTCGCCCCATCGTGAATCTGCGAGGGAGGACAAGTGGCAAGGTTCATCCTCGCGCTATAATCAGGTTGTGTTTGTTGCTCATCGATGTATAGAATCAGTATGCAAGGCCATTGCTATCGGTCAATCAAATTCTCAAAACAACGTTTGCTATTCTAACCTATGAGAAGGTGTGTTAGGTCCTGTTCAAACTGACTGGCGAGGACTCATGCGAACCTCCCGAGTAGCAAAATCAACCTGACCTCCTTGGAGCGTCCGTGTTCAGCCCAAATGAGATGTACAGGAGGTTGATGATGTTCAAAACAGAGTTGTTGAAGGATACACCCCTAGGCGCGCTGTACGATTTTTTTAGTCAAGTCTGGACATTATCACTAAACTGCGCGCAACTCGTAGTCCACAATTATATTTTGTCAAAGTCGACGTGCAAGCATGCTTTGACTCGATTGAACAGACAAAGCTGCTGGAGATACTTCGCCATGTAATATCTGAGGTAAACAGTCAGCTGTGCTTTCTATCATGAACTCACGTCCTCACAGGATAATTATATGATACGGAAGTATGGGCAGGTCAAACCTGCGTCTGGGAAAATCCAGCGAGCCTATATTAAGAAGGCGCATCCAGAAGGTTTGTGCTTGCGGTGCAGCTGGTAACATACTGATAGTATATTCCTCAAGGTGAACATGTAGACTTTGTGGCGTATGCTCGCGAATTGTCTACTGTCTTGAAACAAACGATCTTCACAGATCAGGTTGGTCCCACAATACTTGGCTTATATAGGTATTCAGTTGTTGCGCAGGTTGTGTATGATTTTCAGTCGAAGACAGCAACGCTGAAGCTTCTAGAAGAGCACATAAAGGAAAACATTGTCAAAGTCTATCTTAACTATGTTATCTAAATGACGCCGCTTGCTAAAAATGTGTTTTTACCAGATGGGGCAGCGGTACTACCAACAAATTGTCGGCATTCCCCAAGGATCTGTTTTGTCGACTATCCTGTGTTCATTTTTCTTTGGGGATCTGGAGAGAAATCATTTGCATATCTTTGATGACCTCAAAAGTGTACGCGTCTCGTTCCTCGTTTGTTTGAGAGCCCGCCCATCTTACCAATCCATAGTTATTGCTGCGATGCATCGACGACTATTTATATGTAACTACCAGTCTGGAAAAGGCGAAGCGCTTCCTAGATGTCATGAATAAAGGTAAAGCATCCCTTTTGCACGCTTTACCATGCATCACCGTTCGAATCTTGCAGGGCATCCCGAATACGGCTGTATCATATCGAAGGGAAAGACTATGACTAATTTCGAGCATGAATCGATTGAGGCTGCCGACGGCACCGAGCTACCCCAAAAATGTATGAGACATCCTCTCTTACTCTTTCCTTGCTTGATGGCCTGGTAGATTTTCCTTGGTGCGGCTTGTTGATTGACATGTCTACACTCTCGGTTAGGGCTGATTATTCCAGGTACCGCGGAAATGGTGAGCGCTTCCTTCCTCATGCGCGTGATGATTGACTTCGTTACTATAGACCTGGAGCACTCACTCACAGTACACAAAGGACGTCGCCCTCGCCTCGCGTTTGTCCATAAGATGCTGCGGTAAGTATTGCTTTTCCTGCATTGACTATCTACTGATCGTGTCTTTAGGTTTGCCAAAGCCAGGAGCCATATTATCTACGCAGATGTTGACTTGAATGGGATGCATACTGTATACGTCAATGTCTATCAAAATTTCATCATCTGCGCGATGAAGATGCACCACCATCTCATGACCTCTGGCATCAATGTCGCGAAGAATAAAAAATTCATTTGCGGTGAGTTGAATCTAACATGAACCTCTTCAGAATGATGCCGGGCTCACTAGGCATAGATACCATCGGACACACTGCTAGATGCACATATAGCACACTGCGCCAGTCCCACAGCGCGGCGTTGCGCCCAAATGGAGGGAATTTTGATCTGAAGAAAAGTTCAGTGATATGGTAAGATACGATCTCGGTTGTGCGCACTGCGCTCTTATGGTTCACATATTCAGGCTGGGGATGCATGCATTTCACCATGTGCTGTCGAAAAGGCCTGGGGTCTACGGCACACTGCTGGAGTCTCTTCGCTTCCAGCTGGCGTTGTTTCGCAAAAAACCACTGAAGCATCGATTGAGAAGTGTGGTGAAGGATGGTCTTGCAGGCGTAGCTACAGTACATTTTTGAATGGCACGTATACTATAATATTGTAGCGGCGGCGAGCCGCCAGTCCCTGACTCCCTTGACCGGTCTACTGTGGTTTTCAAATTTTTGTTTCAGGACATGAATGTGAGGTCAAGTGCTTTCATCCCATCCTGCACTTGCATTTGTCCGCAGAGGGCTATGCCCATGGAGAGATAGCCGGACAAGGAGGGCTGAATGCTGACGGACTGCGTCACCACGAAAGTAAGTTGGTCAAGGTTTACAACAGACAGTGTATAGGCTGCGTTGCACTGCTTCTTCTGCCATTCCGGGCCGCCCATCCCTGGGCGTCATCACTCCTTCGATTAGTACTCTGATCAAGCGAGTCCCTCGGTTTAGAACTTCTATCTTGTCTCACCCGTTCTCTAGAAATATATCACTTCTGTGTTGAAGCCTCGTGTGTAATATTTCTACTACACTCGATCTTCGAGGTGCGTTCAGATCAAGGGAGTTCGTAATAATCATGGATATACGATGCTGCAGGCAGGCAATATGAGCAACATTACCATTGTCAACAACACAAAGGAGAAAATCACTGTTAGCATCAGCTAACATCAGTGACAGTGGGCAACCCGGATTCTATGAAATCGCGTCAAAGAACTCCAACACCTGGAAACGGAACAAATTGCAAACGTGCCATGTATTGAGGGCTGACAATGGAAATACTGAGGTTCTTGTTGTGGAACCTGGAAAAACGTACCAAATCGTTGAAAGTCATGGTGCGTTCAGAGGTGTATTATAAAGAAGTTCATAATAATCATTTTGGACACAGCAGGCAACTTGAATACGAACGAAGTCACCATTGTCAATAACACCGGGGAGAAAATCGCTGTTAGTATCACTAACATCGGCGAGAGTGGGCAACCTGACTTCTTTGAAATCACGTCAAAGAACTTCAGCACCTGGAAACGGAGCAATCTGCAGGTTTGCCATGTGCTGAGAACCGACAATGGAAACACTGAGGTTTTTGTTGTGGAGCCTGGAAGAAATTATCGAGTTGGCTGAAAGTCTTATGGGTAGAAACATTTGGCCATGGTGTTCAAGTTATGTCCACACAACGCTGTTGTTTTTCATGATACAAACATAAATTCTCACCCGGCAATTTGCCCTCATGCGAGAGTGACACATTCCCTTAACCTGTCAACATATGTCTGTGTCTCTGATGAGCCAAAGATCGGATCATATCCACCCGTGCTGTATGGCTTATGAATGAGATAGCTTTTTCCATCATAAACATTCTGGCACAACAAGGTCTGCACAATACCCACGTGCCCCCTGGCAGAACGCACCAATCAACTCATACTGTGTTCGTCATCTGCGCAAAGACTCTTCAGCAGCAACACTGCGACGGACTACCAGCAGTGATCATGGTTGCTGACGTGATAGATGGCTTTCTCTTAATGGGTCCTTGGCAGGATGCCCTCATGACAAAGAACGGAGAAGCTAAGCGTTGAGCGCTTCTGCTCGCATGTTTGTTCAGGTACACCGTACACGGTACTTTCATTTCATAATGGTCCTACTAGACAATAAAGTTCCTAGATAACTGGGAGCTCAAACACTAACACCGGGGTTCAAGTGTGAGTGTGCAATGATATGTACTCAAGAAATGACAGATGAACACGTAGCTACATAGATATATAATTGTAAGGTCGTCAAATTATGAGGGGCAACTACATCCAATGGTCGTCGATTATCTTCAAGCTCGCACTTAGATCTCGGGAGTGCCACTGTACTGGCCAGGGCGCGACTGTTGGGAAAAGACATGCGACGGTATGGATGGGTTTTGATATATGTTGCTAGACGCGGTGGTCAGGACGGTGGGGGAGGGAGGAGAACCTGGGAAAGTGGTCGGGTCAGAGGGGTCCTTCACAAAGAGATGAGATGAGTGTCGATGTATCATAGAATCATGAAAAACATACGTAGAGACGCGGTTGTTGCGTCATTTGTGGTTGCACTGGGAATGGATGAGGGTTAGCGGAGTAAACGCTTTGAGTGTAGCCTGGACCCCCGCCAATGTCGCTGAAAGCAGCCGATGGCGCTGTGGCGGAGCGACGGCGTTTGATAAAGAACCACGTCGCCAAGCCTATGATGGCTGCAGCTCCCACAATTCCACCAACAACACCCCCAGCTATAGCTCCAGCATTTGAACTTTTCGAGTCAGTTGATGATGTCGAAGATCCTGTGACTGTGCCTGAGGAACTGGTCAAAGAAGCAGGCACGCTGCTCGAAGAAGCGACCGAGCCAGTAGATTGTACGCTGGTTGCGGTAGATTCTGGGGTATCTACAGGAAGATGAGCCAAAGTGCTTCTGCAATGGGGGTTATGCTCAAATGCTAACCTCCATTATTTTGCGCTGCGACGGGATCGAACCCATCTGCGGTCACCTTCAGAAAAAAATTAGATTACAACAATTGGGATGAGTAGTCGTGCATTGACATTCAGGTATGCCCAATTCGGAACCTTGGTGCCGGACGGAATGTTATACGGATATCTGTCGGCGATGTGGGTAAGAGAAGCTTGGAGGATATAAATAACCTTGCAGACTTACTGTTGTAAGTATACCTGAGAGCAATTGTAGTTCCATTGAGACCAGCTACGAGGCTCTGTAAAGTCAGATACTTGAGATGACTTGAATACGACTCACTTCAGATACGTGGCATTCTGGCAGGCGCCGCAAGCACTAATCAGCGAGTAGGTCACTGTACTACATTCGCAAAGGTTGGCTTCAGCGGACGTGGGAGCCGCATAATGGGTGCCGGGAGGTAAAGCATTGACTGTAAAATCTGTGCCAGGACTAGTTATGCAAGGTCAAGGCATACTGAGAAAGGAGAACTGCATACCTCCACCCCAGCAGACGCTCTCGAGATAGGAAGAAACCACGCAAGGGTTCTGTTGGAGGCTGTTGTCCATCTGCGGATCACCCAATCATGCATCAGAATCTATATCTTAAAACTAATAAAAGTATTACCCAAGCAAAGGAGGACCCGCATGTTGCATTGGAGGTCTGCGCAAAGGCGCCCCTGGGTACAAACGCTGCTGCTGTCAGGACCACTATCAACGACCATGCCTTGGAGAGCGGCGACATGGTGGATAGAAGGAAGGATGGGGAAGACGGAACGGGTATAGAAGGTTACATATAGTAATTAGGTGATTTGTTCCTTATGGCAGTTCGACGTGATGCCGGCCACATCAATACTTTGCCAAGATAGATCGAACACAGCTTTGGAAATGAGGCCGCAGGGTTTTTGATAAGTGCAAACGCCTCTCCGATCCGTGCGCTATTAAGGCAACTTATAGAGGCCCACCACTGGTAATGTCCTGTTCCCTGTCCACGGCAGACTCGTTTTCAAGTGGGGTAAAGTTGGCTTGGTCATTTGAGCGCGCTCGGATCCAGATGGCATCCATGAGCACGAGTCATGAGGCCCTGCATCTATCATTACTAATACTAGTACTATCCCTTCCGGTGCAATCGGCAGTCACAATATTGTCACATAGGCCAGTTTCAATGATTGAGTGAGACTCGAACCATGTACATTCGAATTCAGGACCTTTGTAAGTTCGACTATAGATGATTTGAACGTGTGTGTGAGTATTGAATATTGAATATTGAAACTCCGTCACGGTACGTATCAGCAGGTGACATTTCTGTGTGACTCGGGCACTTTCAACGTTTATCTCACTCAATTCTGCTTCAATCGTGGTCGTTCAACCTCGTAATGAGAGAGAAAATGTTATCTATGTTGATGGTTTTAAGTAGCTAGAAATACGAGTTTTGTGAAAGTGCCGACTTCTGTAGGATGACGATGGCACCGGAAGGGATATAGTATCAGGGCAATTAAGGGTCGGTTTCAATAGAGGTTTGGCTGTGTAAACTTGTTCCTGCTCATTAATCATTTTGTGCCTCTTTTGTAACCGTTTTTGTCGCTTCGAATTCCGAGATCTACCAGACCACATGCTATGTTGATCTGTTCTCACACCACCCATATCGCTAGATCTGCATACGCATGAGCCGTCAACTTTATCAAAATGGCCTCTGGCTCGTCCTCTGTGCAATCTATCGGTGCAGCTATGGACACCTTTCGGCACAACCTTGGCACCCCTGCCGCTCTTGTAATAAGTATATGAGGAAGAATTTCCCGTTCGACTGTATCATCTATGTATGGCTATGCGTTTGTGTTATGGTTTCTGAGTATGTCGTGAACAGTTTCCCCTTCTCATTAGTATCCCACCAGGAAGTTGTCTAGCATCCACCTAGTGGCAGTTAGTCGAACATATGCTGAAGTACCAAGCTCGTACGCATCTTGTACGTGTCGTATCAGCAGACCGGCGCAACCACTACATTTACGGCTTTGTTACGGGTACGCAGTACTTGTAAGTACACCATTTCAATAGTGTTCAAGTACTTATAGTCTCCGCGCTGTGAATTTCTAATGCCATTTTGCTAGACACTTTTTCCAAGACTTACCATGCTGATCAAACTACTGTAGAAGCATCTACTCACGCTCGCGCTAGCGAGTTACATCGTGGGTTACAAAAGGAATGCGACGTTTTCAGCGCTCAGTACCGCAACATTTATTTCTCGTAGTACCGTGACTGGTCACATGAAATCATAAGCTCGATTCATGGATCATTCAAATTGCGATTGACGCGTGGCGAAGCTCGTATATCTCATTAACGAAATGAGTCTTTGTAGCCAATGGTACGGCTCAGCGCTAACTACGGTATAGACGCCTGCCACTGTTGGCCCGCCGTCCCAAAAACTTTTTGCATGTACCGTTAATTGCTGTACACACTTATAACACCTATTGCACTTAAAGCTACTGTTGACGCTTTACGAGCGGTCGCGACCTGTTAATTTGACCGCACCCTGAATTCAGTTTAGAGAAAATCCAACAAGTCTGAAACGCAACGTTCCGAGTTTCGTTTACCAGAAGGTAAGTGACATAAGGTAAGATAAGCCCAAACTTTAGACCTGTGGAATGCCAGCGTACTGTCCAGGATGCGACTGTCGGGAAAAGACGGGTGAGGGCATCGATGGGTTTAGGTGTACGTTGCTAGATGTGGCGACTGGGCCAGTGAAGGAGTGAGGACGACCTGGGAAAGTGGTCGGGTCAGAGGGGTCCTGCGTGAGGGGATGAGACGAGCTGATGTATCATAAAATCATAAGAAACATACGTAGAGACGTGATTGCTGCGCCATAGGGAATGTAGTAGTGTTGGTGGAGTAAAAACTTTGAGTGTGGCCTGGACCTCCGCCTATGTCATTGAAAGCGGCTGATGGCGTTGTGGAGGAGGGGCGGCGTTTGACAAAGTACCATGTCACAAGGCCAATGATGGCTGCAACTCCTGCAATTCCACCAACAACACCCCCAGCTATAGCTCCAACGTTTGAACTTTTCGAGTTAGTTGATGATGTCGTCGAAGATCCTGTGGCTGCGCCCAAAGAACTGGTTAAAGAAGCAGACACGCTGGTCAAAGAAGCAGATATGGTGGTCGAATAAGTGACTGTGATAGTAGGACCACTAGTTGCGGTAGATTCCGGGAGGTCTACAAGAAGGTGAGTGAAAGTGCTTCTGCGACGGAGAAGTTATGCCCGAATGCTAACCTCCGTTGCTTTGCGCTGCGACGGGGTCGAACCCACTGGCACCGGACACCTTCAGAGAAAATTAGATTATAACAGATGGGATAACTAATCGTGCACTGACGCTCAAATATGCCCAATTCGGGACCTTGATACCAGTGGGAATGTTTATCGGATATCTGTCGATCGGGGGTATTAGAAAAGCTTGCAGAATATCAACAACCTTGCGGACTGACTCTCGGATAGATGTCTGGGTGCAACTGAGGCTTCAGGAAGTCCAGCTGATGGGAAATAAGCGCGTCGTGAAGTCGAGCTCGATACGACTTAAATACGACTCACTTCAGATATGTTGCATTCTGGCAGTCGGCGCAAGCGCTAAGCATCGAGTAGGTTACCGTACTACATACGCAAGGGTTTGCTAGAGCGGCCGAGGGAGCTGCGTAAATGTAACCGGGAGGTAGAGGATCGATCGTCGTAGCTGCGCCAGAACTAGTTATGCAAGCCAAGGCATAGTGAAAAAAGGCGTACCTTCACAGGCGCTCTGAAGGTAGGCAGCAACGAAGCAAGGATCCTGCCCGAGACTGTTGTTCATCTGCAGATCATGAATCAGAATCTATACCTTGAAGCCTAAAAAATTAAATCACCCAACCAAAGGAGGACAAGCATGTCACAGTGGACATCTGCGCAAAGGCACCTCTGGGTACAAGTGCTGCCTCCAAGATCACTACCAACGACCATGCTTTGGCTTGGGGTGGCGGCATCATGGATAGAAAGAACAAAGATGGGGGAAGGCGAAATGGGCAGAAGCCTTCAAATTATGGCACTTTGTTGCCTCCAGTAGTTTGACGGGATGCCGCGGCGGCCGTCCACCTCAATCGCCAGGCTTGAAAGCTTGACCAGAAACGAGGCTCAGGGTTTTCGGTAAGTGCAAACACCTCTCCATTCCAGCAAGTAGCTTAGAGTAAAATCCCACTGCTGGTAATGACCATTTCTTGTACATGACAGACTCGTTTTCGAGCAGGATAAAATATGTTTGGCTATCTGAACGCTCGGATCCAATTCATGATGCCGCAATTATTTGGTGTGGTGGATACAAGGTGGATGTCAAGGTTGACGTTGATGTTGTGTGGTGCAGTCAGAGCCGAATTTGGTAAGGCTGTACAGCTGTAAGCGTCGTTCCCGCTGAACGCTCACCTAGGCTTTTCTACATGGACATTTGGTAGGCCGCTCGTGGTTGTACCGTCGAGTGTATTGATATTTGAATAGTGACTACTGTCCGGGCACTTATGCACAGTCTCCGCGGTGTGGCTATCTTGCTAGACCTTCAAATTTTTCCAACACTTAATCGACTATCGATAATCGTACTGAATCTGCTGATCACGCTGCTGTACATGCTCGAGCTCGGGTTAGGGAGTCACAACGTGTGGGGAATGCGATGTCCTCAGCATCGCAAATTCAAACCTTATCACACAAGTTCAGACTAATAAGTACCGTAAGGTGACACGGAATAAGATCAATCCATGTGTCATTGCGACGCGTAACGAAGCTCGTATGTGTACAAACGAAGTGAGTCTATGGAAAGCGGGAGTGATCAGCACTCACGCTTTCCATAAGTCACATGCATCTCTGGAGTCACGAATGCCCTGGAGGCTGGCACTATGAAACTGGAAGAGGTTCGGATCATTGGCCGACCTGTTGAGTTGTGTAACTCCTAGTGGTGAGGCGGTGCTTGGTGCAAAACCAGTCCCCACTAGTCCGCCGTTCCTGCTGGCTGTTTTAGGCGCGCACTCCTGTGAAGATTAGATGACTTTACGTGCTTATGGCCCTGAATGTGCTGGCAGTGAGATGACTTAACTGACACTTTATTTAAAGCAGCCATCCCACAGATATCATGAACCTGTCACGACCAAGCTCGTAGCAAGTTGTATTAGTAGATGATCGATGAGCGTCAGACTGTACGTCTGCTTAGCTGCCATTCCAAGAACTGTTTACATGGTGACTTCGTAGTACCGTTGATTACTGTACACACTTGTAGTACTAACATATTACATTTAATACTACTTTCGCCACTTTTTGAGTGGTCGCGACTCGTGAATTTAGTAAACCTCCGGAGCGCCAGCGTACTGTCCAGGACGCGGCTGTTGGGAAAAGACGTGCGAGGGGTACGGATGAGTGTTGGTATATGTTGCTAGATGAGGTGATTGGGAAGGTGGGGGAGGAAAGAGAACCTGGGAAAGTGGTCGGGTCAGAAGGGTCCTGCGCGAGGAGATGAGCTAATGCACCATAAAATAATGAGAAACATACGTAGAGACGTGGTTGCTGCGTCATTTGGGGTTGCATTGGGAATAAATCAGGGTTAGCGGAGTAATGACTTTGAGTGTGGCCTGGACCTCCGCTAATATCGCTGAATGGCATTGTGGAGGAGCGACGGCGTTTGACAAAGTACCGTGTTGCAAGGCTAATGATGACTGCAGCTCCCACAATTCCACCAACAACACCCCCAGCTACAGCTCCAATATTTGAGCTTGTCGAATCAGATGCTGATGTCGTTGAAGATCCTGTGGCTGCGCCCAAAGAACTGGTCAAAGAAGCAGACACGCTGCTCGAATAAGTGACCGAGCCAGTAGATTGTACGCTGGTTGCAGTAGATTCAGGGAGATCTACAAGAAGGTGAGTGAACGTGCTTCTGGGACGGGGGGGTTATGCCCAAATCCTAACCTCCAGCACTTTGCGCTACGACAGCATCGAACCCAGCTGCAGTCACCTTCAGGAAAAATTAGATTACAACATTTGGGATGAGTAGTTGTGCATTAACATTCAGGTATGCCCAATTCGGAACCTTCGTGCCAGACGGAATGTTATACGGATATCTGTCGGCAAGGTGGATTAGAGAAGCTTGGAGAATATAAATAACCTTGCAGACTGACACTTGGGAGAATACCTGAGAACAATTGTGGCTCCAGTAAGACCAACTACGACGCAATAAGCGCTCTGTAAAGTCAAACATACTTGATACGACTTGAATACAACTCACTCCGAATACGTGGCGTTCTGACAGTCGCCGCAAGCGCTCATCAGTGCATAGGTCACTGTACTACATTCGCAAGAGTTTGCTGTAGTGGCCGAGGGACCTGCATAAAAGTCGCCAGGAAGCAAAGCAATCACTTCAAAAGCTGCGCCAGAACCAGTTATGCAAGGCTAAGGCATACTAAGAAACGAAAACTGCGTACATCCACTCGAGCAGACGCTCTCAAGGTAGGAAGCAACCACGCAAGGATCCTGCCCGAGTGAGTTGTTCATCTGCAGATCATGCTTCAGAATCTATATCTTGAAGCTCAAAAACAAGAGGGGAAGAAGAGACAGATCATTACCCAACCATAGGAGGACAGGCATGTCGCATTGGAGGTCTGCGCAAAAGCACCTCTGGGTACAAGTGTTCCTGCTATTAGAACCACTGTCAAGGACCATGCCATGGTGAGTGGTGACATGATGGATAGAAGGAAGGCGGAATGAGGATAACGGGACGGCGAGAAGCTTTCAAGTTATGGCACTTTGTTCCTTTGTGATGCCGGTAACTGCCAAGTTTGATTGGACACTGATCTCTGAAACGAGGGCTCAGGGCTTTTGATAAGTTCAAACGCCTCTCCGTTGCAGCGAGCTTAGCGTCAAGGCCCACCACTGGTGCTGAGTCCATTGTACATGACAGACTCGTTTTTCGTGAACAGGATAAAGTCTGCTTGGCCATTTGAGCGCTCGGATCCCCCGATACCGCAATCATACGATCCTGTGCTGGTGATTATGATAATAAGTATTTGACCATCTATGCTATATACAGCTCAGGTGCAAAGAAGGACCGATGAACGAGCAAACAGGATCAGAAGCTTAAGATAGAAGGTGGTGTCAGGTGCATTATATCGGTCAGAGCCGAGTGATCTTTTACATCCGTGAGAATATCTGACTAAGACTATACAGTTACCAGCCACCGCAAGGTTCCAAAGTTGTCTCCGCCAAGGCCTACAGCGCCGACAATATCCTCAAAACTCGCCATGGCCCCCTCGACAACGTGAGTCTGTCAAGTTTCTGAACGGTTAACAAGCGTTTACATCTTCACCAGGGTTCCTACAGTCTCGGTTCGTTCATGTACTCGCGATCTATGTGATATCCACTAACCTCTACCACAGGACATCGAAGTTCCGGAGACCCTCCTTAAAAAGCGCAAGCAAAACGAAAAGGCACGGGAGGAGCGCCTTGCTGCCGCGACTGCCGCACGTAAGGTTCGTGTCAACATGTTAATTAGGGCCTTGCTCTATGTATGATGCATACGATTATTTCGACCGAATGGCTAGTGGGATTCGTTCTGCAGTGCCGCCTTCAAATTAACCATCTTTCGGGACTGATCCTTTACTTTCAAATTGCCCTATTTCAGATCGCATACTAAATTTTGTTCCAGGCATCAAAGGCAAAGCGCAAGGTTATTTTCAAGCGGGCGGAGAGCTATGTCAAGGAGTACTTGTCAAAGGAGAAGGAGGAGATCCGATTGAAGCGCGCTGCCCGGACATCTGGTGACTTCTATGTTCCCGCAGAAGCCAAGGTTTACTTCGTCGTCCGTATTCGTGGGTACGTACAGCTTCCTCTGTGATTATTCATTCTTCTCATATGCGCGTAGTATCAACGAGATTGCACCCAAACCCCGCAAAATCCTACAACTCCTCCGCCTTCTTCAGATCAACAACGGTGTTTTCGTAAAGGTCACCAAAGCCACCCAGCAAATGCTCCGACTGGTTGAGCCCTACATCACATACGGGTAGGTTGACTGCTTTGTGAATATGTACGGAGAATGATGAATTTCTCCAGCGAGCCAAACATCAAGTCCGTCCGCGAACTCCTTTACAAGCGCGGTTACGGCAAGGTCAACAAACAGCGTATTCCCCTGACCAACAATGCCATCATCGAGGAGTCCCTCGGCAAATATGACATCCTCTCCATAGAGGATCTCGTTCACGAGATCGCTACTGCCGGCCCCAACTTCAAGCAGGTCAGCACGACCATGTCACAAATATTTTCACCTGCTGACAGATTGGAACAGGCATCTAACTTCCTCTGGCCGTTCAAGCTGTCGAACCCTAACGGTGGCTGGAGGACGCGCAAATTCAAGCACTTCGTGCAAGGTGGTGACTTTGGTGACCGAGAGGCCAACATTAACAAGCTCATCCGCCAAATGAACTGAGTGTATCTTTTATTGCGGTCCGACGGAGGGGTAGTGGCGGGATGGAGTAGTCGCAAGGTATGCTTGGCATGAAATTCATCATGTTCCTCTATTTTTGCCATGTATGCATTATGAAAACGCGTATGGATTTCTTCCAACACTTCAGTATTCATTGGCATGATATGAGATTTGTATTATTCTACGTTTTGCTGTAATGCAGCTCAGCTTGGTGGAGTCCGCGTCCACTTGATTACCACGGTGATAACGTCGTCTGTTCTATTTTCACTCCTCGACTCCCAATCCATGAGGTGCCATTTTGACATGATGATATGGTAGCGCAGTCTATATTCTGCGATGCCTTTACAACGAACTGTTCCACAGGACGCAAGCGAAACTTCTCGTCAAGTAAATAATATCCTACGTAATTTGAGGTGCGCTGCAGATGGTGACATGAGCTCGAACGAAGCACCTCATTCCTTCGTCCAGAGGAGAACAATTTCGCCACTCACGTAATGTGCAGCGTGTCCCAGCGAGCCTACCCACATCGTTGCACGTCAATAACCTCCCAACCCTTCCGATCAACCTGATCTATCCTACTGCAGAAGACGGCAGGCGGAATGCAGCGGCTGCTCCAAGTTCAGGGCACCATTCTACAAGACCTGGCCGAGTCGCAGGACCTGATCCACCTCGCAGTTGGACAACCCTAAGTTCATCTCCGAAGGTCAGGGAGGTCGACTTGTCGGACATAAACTCCCCTGCCTGGCGTAAACATGCCCTCGACTTGGTATTCTCCCCTGGCAACGCGTCAGTGCGTCCACCAGGTTCTAGTGCATCTCTTCGTAGCTTTCAGGCGCCGGGCGAATTCCCTACACTCGCACTACTATCCCTTCACGTCATCCTCATGGAATGCAGCGGATATGAGTTGGCTGAAATCAGGCCCTATATCCCACCTCACCTCCGTCGCGCCTTAATGCGTCACAGCGCAATAAACTGTCCTCTCTCTCATATCGAGCTGAATGCAATATGCGGAGAAGAAGGGCATGCAGATGGAGAGCTCGTAGTCGTTGGGCCGCATGCTACATTGCGCAGCGACCATTTCCGGCGAATCCATTCCTCAAGAGAATCCGAATGTGCAGCAGAGGAGTCTACGTGGGAGTCCCTTGCAACACAGGGGAGCGAGCCTAGTGCGCTCTTCTCCCTTACCCTACTGTCCACACCGTTAACCTTCGCCTTGAGCGACCTCCCGCCCACAATCACTTGCCTCGCACTCATAAATATCCCTAAACCAGCGTCCCTTCAACGACTTCCATTGTATTGCCCTCTGGTCTCGCTGTTAGACCTGTCTTATAACAGTTGGCTCATTCCAGCGTCAGGGGAGAAGCTACTACAAGATTACCCGTGGACGAAATTGCGCTACTTGAAGGTCTTGGGGTTACGAGGGTGTCACGTTACATCAACGCTTCTGTCGCAAGTCAATAGAGGTAGATGGGATGACGTGGACGCCATTCATTGATGATCTACGTATATAATATACATGAATTGAATCACACATACGGAAATCTGGACCGGATAGAATAGTACAGATTGCCGGTGGGTATACGAAAGTACAGGAGTCTGAGTGGAACGTAAATAAAATCATACCCGAGCATCGAGGAATAAGCCCAGATCAAATGGTGGCAAATACTGCATTCCATATTAGATCTCGCAGACGATATTTCACTGCAATAAAACCTACCTCGACAGTACTAGTCGGTTTCTTCTCTCCTGAAGTTGACGCACTCCTGCTGGTAGGCTTTGGCGGGAGGGTAACTCCTGCAGGTCTGCTAGAGTTTGTGGGAACTTTGATTTGCAGTTCACTCAAAGCTCCCCAGAGACAAGAATTATATCGCACAGCAACTTCCAGATGAGATACAGACAATAAGTTGCTGTGATCTGAGAAATAGGTCTCAGCGCACCGCCCTGTTCATGCGAGGAAATAAAGCACTCACAGAGTATTGCACGGTTTATCTGGTCTGCGACACGTTCTCGTCTTGCCTGGTCAAGATATTTTGACATAGGGCTCATCTCTGGCACCTTATATGCGAGAAGCCCGCCGACGTTCTCCAGTTCCTTCAAATACGTCGCTCGGTCTTCTGGTTTCCGTAATAGTTCTACTAACGCATAGAGTTTCTGCGCACGCAGTATTAGCTCTGTCTGATAACGCTCATCAGCCAAAAGATCAGGGTCACAGGGGATATTCGTCGGGGGTTCTGGTGTTGCTATGGGTGTGGTCCGATGGTGCGGAACATAGGGAAGAGGGATTGTACGGCAGGCTTCGATGAAAGCATGAATACGGAGGTTTAGTGAGAGGAGTGTGGGGTCCAAAACAGTACGGGAGGTGTACTCTATACGGTCAAGGGAAGAATCAACGGAAGACGACGTTTCTGAGGGTGGAGCGCTTGACGAGGCAAGAACAATGGGGAAGTGCTCGTTGAGGAGGGCAGTAGCTTCATCAATTCGCCCCGAGAGAATTTCTGTTCGTACTTCTGGACAAGAATATTAACATTAATAGACTCCACCAAGAATTCACTGCACCTTCACGACGCCGTATTCTACGGAGGCCCTCATCTGTTAGGTCCACTGAGGTCCCTTGCAACCTTCTGTCGGGCGACGTAATTTCGTCTCCGTCCTTATCGAGGTGCCTCACGGCAGTATCTCTAGCGAATGCCTGCGCAGTCTTGGTGTAACAATTGTGACAGAGGTAATCGAGTACAAAGGCACGCTGTAGAGAAGAGCAAGATCAGTCACAGTGACAGAAGACGAAGTTCTTGGCGGATCGGAACGCACGAGATGACCAGGTTGTGGTTCCGCGAATTGTTGGTTGCTAACTGGTGGAGACGGAGATGGGATGCGCGATGTAGGCGCTGGGCTCCTAATCATGGAAGACATAAAGGAGTTCAAGCGATACTGCTTGTCATGAAATGCAAAATTAAGAAGGACCGCTAAACACAGGACGATGCGACTGGAATACAGCTAGTTCTGGTCACAATGTTGCAATCTCGGATGCTTGGAGGGTAACTATCACATGCGTATATATACGTTCAACGTTCAACTCGTCAGGTCTTTACAATACATATGTTGGTATAATAACTTGAGTCTTGTGCAATTACGGTGTTAAGTGGGACGTGAACCGGAGGTCCGAGTCCTAGAGTGCCCTACAACGCTTGCACTTCTACCACTGTAGTACGAACCAGAAAGAGCATCCCCTCCCAACAAACAAGCTTGCTCTTCAGCGAGGGAAGCTCTGTGTGCGATCGATGTACCACGGCCTCGCCGACGCGGAGGCTTCCCTCGGTAAATAAAGGATTGAGATACAATTGTGACATCAAAGATTAATGTGCCGCCACTTCCAAGCAAGTATCTATAAGGTCATCAATGCCAAAATGAGTAAGATAAGACAATGAACATACGGGATGCTCTCCTTGAAAAACTCAGTTGATGCAGGCGGAGGCATGTGTGCCCCAGGAGACGTCAATATCGAGCAGACATAGAAAAAGTTGCCAAGGAAAGCAAAGACAAAGAGATAAATTGAAAGTCCCTCAACAGACTTTCTGACATACTGGAGAAGTCGTTTAGAGGAAAGTATTCCAACCATAACGAAAAGTAGACTCACGTTCTTCCATATCTGAGGAAGCCGAGAAGTCAAATATAACGAGGTACATAACCAGGCGAACATTCGTCCAATGATACGTTCCGTAGATGGGGAGTCTTCTGATTGAGATCGCAACTCCTTCTGGCTAAGTGTCAAAGGGAGTTCCACAGTCACAACTCCTGCATCTGATAATGACGCATGGTAGGCCGTGTCTTGCACGGAGGACGCTGTCATTGGATGGGGTATATTAACCTCATCCGCTAGTACCCGTCCGATGCTGTCACTCCTCCCTGCCAAAGATCTAGAGTGAGTGTTGGTTAGAGCTCCAACACTAAACAACACCCCAAATCCAAGCAAAACCATGCTTGCCCCGCGTCGACTCGCACGCGAACTGGTCCTATGGCCACTCGCTGCACGCGAGCCGGGTTGCTCAACCTCAACCTCTTCCGCATCTGCCATACGCTGCTCTGGACGACCCCGGGAAAATGCTGCGAACTCGCGCTGAGGAGCTGTAATTTGCAGTGATTTTGGAACGACCGGAGACGCCTGACTTCGAGCGCTCGGTTGATGATCGTGGCGTTCTTGGCTCCATGAAACGCGTTTCCGCCCAGAGTGGAGACTTTCTGAGAGTGCTGACAAGACTGCATCATCAACCTCATCCTGTGCTTCTTCGACGACTTGGGGTGTGGTGTCAACGAGCGACTGATCGACGAGATGCTTTCGTGAGACACGATGTTCAGGATGTGATTCAGGGAATGCGGCTAGTGCTGCAGCTGCGGCAACATTCCCCGCGATTGTCGATAATGTACGATAGTGTGATGCGTCCAATGAGAGTCGACGAGCAGTGGAGATGGTTCGTGATCGTGTGCGTACGTATACCTCGGATAGTGTTTCTGGTCCTTTACCATAGTAGTAGTAGAAGTATTGAGCCAGTAACGAACAATCTACTATGCAAAAGTAGGTCGCAAGATAAGTCTGAAAGCAAAAGCAAGTCACTATTACGAAGACGCGGTATCAACATCAGTAGCTCACCTGGAAGGGAAGCTGGTGGGTGAGCAAACAACCGACTAAATTCGAAAAGTCGCCTAGAAAGCAACATCAGTGGAAACCGAATTGATCGATAAGGATGTATCGTACCGAGCAACCAATTGCACAAGAACGGTAGTGCGAGGCCCTCACACGACTGCTGTTTGTAATTTTCTATCACTTGTCTACGATGGCGAATATGGCGCAATTCATTGTCAATTTCATGATGTGCAACGTAATAACAGACTGAGTACTAAGTACTGATCACTCACGGAAATTGGGCGCCGAGCCAACATGCTATAGAAGCATAACCGAGCAACTCGCTGAATTTCGCTGCAAGGAACATTCTCACTGTTGGGCCCACTAGAACTTGATTCCTTGAAGGTTCGAGGATGAAGATGCTAAACAAAGCGGGTTACAACAAGTCGAGCGCCGTGGATTGCCTCCAGTTGGTTCACACACGCTAGTGCGTGACAGAACATCCAGGTTCGCCTTGTTCGGTCGTGGGCAACTTAACTCGTCTCCGAATTGGTCACCCGTGCAATGATTAACCCTCTTCCGTTTCAGTCATCCTCCGGCATCCGACAAGGAACATGATGCTGCAGAGTTCATGCAGCAATAAATCTTTCATTACTCGGTACTCAAGCTTCAAGCGCGTCACAGGCGGGCCTGAGGCGCCTATTACTAACGTAGGCGCTCAAGTGACTGAATGGATAGCTTCATCCTTTCTGAAACCCACCTCTAAACCGGTAAGTACTGAATCCATGCTCTCCCGAATCCAATTTCAGTTGCCAAGTACCAGCGTCTAATAGAATGAGATAGGTGGATAATTCCGAACTCGGCCTCTGAAGCTCTCAAGGACAGGTACCATTATCAGTGACTGATGCACCGCCTCCACGCAAGTCCGACTGAAAATACAGTCAGTTTCCATCATGCAGTACACTTTCGGACAAACTCATCGATCCCGTTATCGATACTGCCAAAACCGACAACGTTCTAGAATCTATGTTTGTCTAGGGCTATGGGGAGACCATGTGACTATTGAACATGCGCCATCATAGTATGCACGGGTCTTGGTTTGTGGGTATGTGTCAAGCTTTGTCACGGTCCCTTGCCTCAGGCACATACTACTAGCGTGGGTCCTAGTTTGTTTCTTTATACCAGTCTTGCCAGATTCAAAATCCGTTCTGAAATTCAAGTGGTCCTCTACACTGGTAAGTACTTGAATCTACACTTCTTTGTCACAGTCCCGATCTCAATTGCTAAGCATCAGGGTAGATCAACGTCTGATAGAATCACATTCGAGGACAAGTATCAGTACATTATCATCATGATCGCCGCCTCCCCGGAAGTCTGCCCATCTGGTTCATACGAACCAACCACTGCGGACATTCTCACAGTCAAAAAATACTTCAAGTTATTTTCCATCCCACTTCCAGATGAACTCATCGATGACATCATCGATGCTGCCTCCTATTGGGCACACACATCTCTAGCAATCAATGGTCATATTGTTGCCTATGCCAACAGAGACTCGGACAAGATGTACATGCGTACATTACCTCTTGCAGTGTATGGCACAGAAGGAGACTTCCTACTCGACAAAGAAAATTTACAGGGAGAAGGGTTTGTCCTGGGCGGGCTACCTCCAACTGAGCTGGAGTGGGCAGCGCCTAGACGTGCCAAACCTTTTCGCAAGATCGAGTTTCAGCTATGGAGTCATGACCAGGGCTGGGGCGGTGAACGTGGTTGTCAAGGAACGTACAATAGCGCTTACTCCTGGTTCGATGCCAGTGTGGAGAGACTTCACTCCACTTCCTATTTCACAGGAAGCATCGAGTGGCCCTCTTCATTCCTCTTCACCGCAGTCGATGCCCCAGATATGCCAGACGACATCACGTATGCTTGCCCCTGCTGATGCGCCGACCTTCGATGACTAATCCAGTTTCTCCCCTCAGATCTATTCAAAAAGATGTCAAACGACCATTCATACCTTCTCCTTCCACTCTCCAGAAAAATATTGTTGCGGAAAATCGAACGACACACCATATCATCACTTGGACGGACCTTGACGATGTCAAAGAAGGTTCACCTGAAGCGATTGCAGCTGAAAATAGGGGACAGGGATGGAAATCATACGATGGTAGCTTTGTACGTGACTTGCAGGTCGGTGACTGCATTACTTTGTGGATGAGGGCTCGCTTCCCAGGCTGGAGCAACAATGTTGTGAAGGCGAAGATAACAGCATTTTGGGCAGTATAGGCTGATCTACTAGTTGGTGTCAAAAATGTGGAAAAACCACTTCTTATATTATGTACATCTGTATGGCATCCGATGCGTAGAGATTTCAATCAAGGCTTTCAAGATACAGAGCCAATGATCCCTCAACTCCATAGGGGGAGAGGGGCGACTATATTCTCTCGTTAACTGCAACAACTTGAAGTCCACAGTAACTCTCCACAATTCTGTCAGTGAAAGCTTGAATAAAATTTTTGTCCGCCCTCAAGATCGGAACCGGGCTGCTCATAAATGTCGTACTCGTGATGTCAAAAAGATAGGTAGAAATCGGACATTACCAGCACGTAGGTGCTTGATGACAGAAGTGTTCAAAACGTGAGCGATGCTAAGCCACAGCCTGCGAAGCGTTTGTACTTTACGTGACTGCAGGGAAGTCCACGGGAACTTCTCCTGAATTCTGTCAGCGAAAGATTTTTGTTTGCCTTCAAATTGGAACCGCATCAGGAAAACAACGGATCTCTTGTGTCATATATATATATGCGCTCTTCTATCAGGCACATGGGATCGAATCCAGAGGCTATCCAGATACAGGTCAGTAACAGCCAATGAACCAAGACGTTAGCGGGAAAGAGGGGGGGGGGGCAGCTGCATATGTTCTCTCGTCGGCTGCAACACTGTATGACGCACACAACCTTGGATTGACTCTCATTGCTTAATCCATCCTCTACATCGCTCAGCGCCACACTTGCATAAGAGCGCGGTGGGTGACATCTTTCGCTTTTGTTTCCCAGTGCCTTCAGCCATTTCTTCGGCAGCGCTTGGTTCATAATCAATAGTGAGCTCCTCTCCAGCAGGTATGTCTCGTGCAGCGACGAATGCCACATAAGGCATGTGTACCTAAACCAGGGTCTCAAGGGACAGCAAGAATTCTAGGTCATAGGCAATTACCTCTCGAATGGTATCGAAGACGACAGAATAGACCTTCATACTGGGCGAGCATGAGTGACTACACGTTAAATGATTGAATGTCGGCTCTCAAAGGCCCTAAGGCAGATCGTTTCGACTCACTTGACAAAGCGGGTCCAGTTACCTAGAGATAAAATGAAATTAAATCGAAGAAATCACGACACGGGGGCATACCGCAGTCATAAGAATCGACCGAAAACTTGTCTCCTGCATTGTGCTGACCACGGACCTCTGTGCCATCAAGATCGAAAACATAACCAATGTGCTCCGGAGAAAGGTTCTCCACGTCTTCCCGACGTCTATGAAATCAAGTGAGGGCCTGCAGAAGCCAGAATGGAAGAACTCACAGCAGCGTCCTGCAGTGAAGAATTCAGTACTTGGGAGTAGAGACATAATCATACGAACCCTGTGTATATTCCCAATACCTTTCCTTTTGGTAGTGTGACGGGGCAACGAGCACCCCAGCCGCACTGCATTGTCTTGAAAATCTCGATTGGAATATCACGAGGCTTCTGAGCAACACGATTACCGCACGCTGGACTACATTTACAGTACTGTAGCAACTTCAGTACGATCGGTGTGTCGCCTCAGATGAACCTGTACCTTGTTGCACTCAATAACTTCAACACCTTGCGGGATGCGAAATGCAAAAAGTCCCTAAACAAGTTGCCAACACGTTCCGCAATAGATAGAGATACTCACCCCACTATAGGCGTGTAACTTAAGCCCTCTTTCATTCGTGATTTCTGATTCTGTCTGACAGTCGCATCGAGATGCTCTTTGACACGTCGTGCATGCACATGCAAGGAAAGCCCCTGGATCGACGTCAAAGATTGACTGGAGACCATCATTATCACTGGTCCATGAAATGAAAAGGGTCCGACAAAATGAGAGACCAGAGGACATACAAATGATATGATCTCTCCATATATTTGAATTTGTACAGATGCTGACCAATGTCGCCATCTACGATCTCGTTGGAGATGCGTAAATCTGCGGCACCGGTCTCCTGTGCTGCTTTGTTCCAATTACTCTGTAAGTGCGCTCGCCCGCGCCTGCGACACATTAGTAAGATAGACGTGTAGGAACGCAAGAATAAAACTCACAAAGGCTTCGCAGGGCGAACAAATATAACGTCGCCATTCATAGCTGATGGCGCGCGTTTTGTAGTGCTGGCCTGGCCATATTTGACAGAGTGGTTTGTGATAGCATTCTTAGATCCTTCTGTGACGCCTTTGGATATAGCCCTGGGAGATTCCACTGTGCTTGCAGACGAATTGAACATCAAAGAGCGAAAAGCGTCATCCCCTATGGAAGGTGACCTTTTCCTTGCAGAAGCACCTCTTTTAGATGAAGAAAGGGGATTCGAAGGTGTTGGTCCACGAGTGCGTTTGGCAGAGGACGAACGCAGTACATCAGATGATGGGGTAGAACGCGGAGTACCTCTGCGCACACGCAGGCGAGACGCCGCATTGCCATCTTCAGCGTCGGGCTCATCTGTGCACCTGCATGCACTTTCTATTTCTTTGTCCCAGTTTGCTGCTGAGGGCTTATCAAGCCGTTTATGTTTCTTCTCCTCGTATGCTTGTGCGCGCAGGAAGGTGAAACGCTTATGCACTGCGTCATCTGGCCATGACACTTCCATGTCCAGACTGTCCTGGGCAAGTGCATTACGCTTATTGCCCTGCACTTTGTTCCAGCGATTGATCAAATCACTGCGGTCAGTTATATGGGTTTGCCAGGTCGTGTTTGTGCCATCCTTTCGTGACCAGTTTCCCCATCTCACCTGATTGTGTTAAGTACAGATCAAGTGTAAATTTTAGTGATTGTGCCTACTTCATATCTAGTAGACTCGTAAAATAGAGACGGGTAGAATACAAGTGGAGCTTACCTTGAAGTGCCGTCAGGATCAAGTTCCTCACCTACGACCCCCTTGATTGGCCACTCTCCATTCTCATTCCCACCTTCCGCATCACTCCAGCTTTCCTCTGGAGAGGGAGATCGTTTCCACAGGTCCATCATGCACCGAATTCACAACAGCGTCGAGGATAGTATAAGGAACTTCCTTTGTCTAGTGTAAAGGCCTGCCCTCTAAGTGATAGTATGACGGAAGCAAACGCGTTGTTCCAAAATGATAGCCCAGTCATGTGACCGCTTCAAGTTAATCTACGCGTCCACACGCGCCGCGTCTTTATTTGGTCTTGATGGCTTGACTTGAAGCTCGAACCCTTCGTCTTTCTTCACTTTCACCCACCATCATGTTTATGCTACGGCGCACCCCAACGACTTCTGATGGGAAACCTGTAGATAGGTTACAAGAGAGCACGCGCGTAAACAAGCCATTCAAACCCCCATCGCTTGTCAACGCTTCCGAGCGCGTCCAGCCTCAGCGCAAGCGCAAGCGGGTTTCGTACAAAGATGCAGCGGTTGACGAGAACGACAGTGACGACGACGATGCAAGAAAGAAGAAAAAGAAGAAGGGAGACAAAGACGGGACTTACAACGAGGAAGAGTTGAAAGCTGCTATCAAGACCTTTCCAGTGTACAAGCCTAAGCCATTCGATATGCTGCGCAGGTTCTCAATGCCAACTATGACGAACAAGAGCGGAGAAAAGGTGCACATTCTGCCTACCAATGCATCTCTGGGGATTCGTCCACCGACCAAGATCTTCCCTCGCCCGTTACATGATCCAATGGAGGACCATGCCATTGTCCTCTACGACCCTACGATCGATGACCGCGAAACAGACGAAGAGAAGAAGGAAAGAGAGAAGGAGGAAGCTAAAGAGAAGGCAGCCAAGGAAGCACAAAAGAAGACTGCAGGGATGTATAATCCGCATAAGAATCTACGGACGCTCCTGGGCGAAGGCAAGGACAAGAAAGAGAAAACACAGAAAGTCCCTGTAGTAATTGACCCTAGACTCGCAAAGGTTCTACGTCCACATCAGGTTGAGGGCGTGAAGGTGAGCGTTTCCTATAGCGTGCTTTTGCTGTACTCATCCTAACACGCAGTTCTTGTACAAATGTACTACCGGTATGATGGTGGACAACCAGTACGGCTGCATTATGGCCGATGAAATGGGTCTTGGCAAGACCCTACAATGCATCGCATTGTTATGGACCTTGATTAAGCAATCCCCTCACGCGGGAAAGCCCACCATAGAGAAGTGTATTATAGCATGTCCTTCTAGTTTGGTGAAAAATTGGGCGAACGAACTTGGTGTGTTGTTTATCTTTTAGTTCTTCTGAGACATCCCCTCACCTTCTCTCAGTCAAGTGGCTAGGCAAAGATGCCATTTCAGAGCTTGCAGTGGATGGCAAAGGTGGCAGAGGCGAACTCCATGGGAAGGTTGTTCGGTGGGTAGAAGCAACGGGTCGGAATGTTACACAACCAGGTTTGCCGTTGACCTTAAAGATGGATGCCTGACGTTCATGTCTCTCTCAGTGATGATCGTTTCCTATGAAACCCTTCGTACTCTAACCGCGCATTTGGCCAACTGTAGCATTGGCCTCCTGCTCTGTGATGAAGGCCACAGGTTGAAGAACTCTGGTGAGCTCACACGTTCACAGGACTTCATTGGAGCACTATGAATAACGTGTCTTGTCTCAGGCAACCAGACATTCCAAGCCCTGAATTCGCTCAATGTCAAGAGACGAGTCATTCTTACAGGAACACCCGTTCAGAATGATCTCTCGGAATATTTCTCCCTCTTGAACTTCGCAAACCCTAACTTCCTTGGCTCTCGAGATGACTTTCGTAAAAACTTCGAGAACGCTATTATTCGTGGCCGCGACGCGAGCGCCAGTGCAGAAGTACAAGCTCAATGCGAGAAGAAACTCAAGGAACTTGGTGGTCTTGTCACTAAATTCATCATTCGGCGAACAAATGACCTATTGTCAAAGTACCGTGAGTCGCTACTTGTTGCGCTGTTGCGATTTTTACTCTAATTATCATGTAGTACCGGTCAAGTACGAGCACGTCGTGTTCTGTGGACTTTCTGACTTTCAGCTTGCCTTGTACCGCCTTTTCATCTCCTCACCCGAGATCAAGGCGTTACTTCGAGGCACGGATTCCCAGCCACTCAAGGCAATCAATATCCTCAAGAAGCTTTGCAACCATCCTGAACTGCTCAACCTTCCCTCCGACCTCCATGGTTCCGAAAAGCTTCTACCTGAAGGCTATGGTGGCGCGGGCGCCACAGCGCGCGACAAAGGCAAGAACCAGACGGTGCGGTGTGATTGGGGAGGAAAATTTTTGGTCCTCGAGCGGTTCTTGCATCGCCTCAAGACAACTACCAATGACAAAATTGTGCTCATTAGCAATTATACGCAGACGCTTGACTTATTTGAGAAGCTGTGTCGAAGCAAGAAGTGAGTCTATGAAGTTTGACGATGCTTCCGAGTCGATTTATGTTGACGTACGAACCAGGTATGGCTTCTTTCGCCTTGATGGGACCATGACGGTCACCAAGCGCCAGAAGCTCGTGGATCAGTTCAATGATCCAAATGGGAAGGAATTTGTTTTCCTGCTAAGTAGTAAAGCCGGGGGATGTGGTATCAATCTTATAGGCGCCAACAGACTGATCCTTTTTGACCCTGGTTAGCATGTTCGATATGCTGGTTGGCTTAAACTAACAAGATTTGTGCAGACTGGAACCCTGCTGCTGATCAGCAGGCTCTTGCACGTGTATGGCGCGACGGCCAAAAAAAAGAGTGTAAGTCTGGCACGCGTCTGTTTTCAGTGCGTCGTTAACTACTATTATCATAGGCTTTGTCTATCGCTTTATCTCGACGGGAACGATTGAGGAAAAGATATTCCAACGTCAAGCATCAAAACAAGCTTTATCTTCTGCCGTCGTCGATGAGAAGGAAGATGCTGAACGGCATTTTTCGGTCGAGTCCCTTAGGCAGCTATTCCTATTTAATGAGACCACGATTTGCGATACTCACGATACCTTCAAATGCAAACGCTGCAAGGACGGCAAACAAGCTATCAAGTCACCTGCATTGTTGTACGGAGATGCAAGCACGTAAGTCTACCTCTTGGAGATGGGATGCATACCCCCTTACTTTCGTGTACAGGTGGAATCACTATACCAATGAGGAGCTAAAGAATAATCACGACGACCTACTCCGAGCTGAAGTAGGCTTATCTGAGATCTCCTTCGTTTTCCAATATATCAGTCACTAGAAGTTACCAGGGCTCTCATGATTATTATCGTCCGTATCATTGTCGTGGACATTCACTGCTCACCATTTGTAACACTATTTCACAGCACACACGATCATTATACTACAAAAGATAAAGCTACAGCGGTACAGGTATTAGTGCAAAGTCATTTATATGGATGCTATGTTATAACATCGTCCCAGGCTCCCCAGTCGTCACCGACCTTTCTCACTTTAACCTTCTCTCCTGATTCACCGAAGTAGGCAGCCGTATACCACATCTTCATTTCGTCCTCACTAAAGGGCCCAAAAGTCTCCTCGGTAGATTGCCCAGGGATGTCCCATTTGTACTCGTATGTGATGTCTGCAGAGGGAGGAATCCAATTAGGTCCCACCCTTCCGCTAGAGCGCACCGCGCGGACGAGTTCCTCGTATGATCGAGAGTAGATGTCAGTGTCACCAAGCGACATAAGGTTGGATGCCAAATGGGTGATCATGTCAATATCATTGAGACCCTGGGGTTTCTCTGCCGCCTTGTTGTCGACGGCCATAGCAGTATCATCTTTGGCCTTTCCATTGACTTTCCTGCGAGGTAGGTACTGGAGTCAGCTGATCCTAAAGGATGCTTGCTCGACAACGTACCTGGTGGAACGTGAATTCCGTTTCGCCTTTGCGCCTAATCGTTTAAGTGCCTCAAGTACTGTTTCTCCTTTCTTGAGCATTCCGAGGAGCTGCATTTCCAAAGCTTCCTTTCCACCGCTTTGCTCAAGCTCTATCTCCTCCGCCTTCATCTTTTCTCTTTGTATTCGTTCTTGCTGTCGCTTCCTTCGACGCGCCAGCTTGATTTCCTTGTCGTCTAGATCGTCCATCCACCGATCGTGTATGGCATGGGCATCAAATGACCGGACATACATGCCATCAGCAGCAAATTTGCCCTCTTCCATCTCCTCCCGCATATTGAACGAAGATAGCTCGAATCCCATGCCAGCCTTCTTCCGTCGTTCTCTTTCATCCTCGTCTTCAGGCTCATCCTCTTCATCTGAATCTGAATCTTCACCATCGTTGAACTCCTGTCCTTCTATGTCCCCTAGGCGTAAAAATTCTTCCTTCTTCTTCCCCTGCGCCTCGTCTTTCTTCTCTTCCTTGTCGGCCATTGCAAACATGTCGTCGTCATCGTCCGCCCCTTCTGCGTCCTTTCTTCTGCTCAGTACCACACCCTCTCCATCATCACTCGAGTCCGAGTCATATCCTTCGTTCTTAACCCGTCCTTTACGCTTGGCTAAAGGATCCTCAAGTGCAGAGTCAACTTCCTCCGCAAAGTTCACGGGATCTTCGTCAGGCTCTGTGAAACGCGTCTTTTTTGGAACATGTGAAGATTTTTGGGATGTTGATGCGTCTGTGCTGGACGTTGCTGACCGCTTCTGAGCCGTTCGGGGCTGCATATTGTAGTGCCAGTTGATAAGGAGAAGCTATGTCAATGTTTGATGGTGTTTGTCACCACTTGCATATCTTCTGGCCGCGTTAACATTGGATGTGCCATTGCATCAAGCCGATTACAGCACAGCTGAACCTTCAGAGCGTCCAGATTCTGCTGGAACTCTTCGATTCTTTTGACTTTTGATTAGATATGTGTAAATTGCATATGCAAAAATGGTCGTAGCCACCGAGAGAGTAGCACGTAAAGTATTTTCAGAAGCCATTCAAGAGTGTATAAGGGAAATCGTAATCAGTAGAATTACATTGCAGTGATTTGCATGACAGCATTCGCATATCCAGTACTGTCAGTGATCTGGACACGCATGAGGAGCACCGTATTTGCAAGACCTATCAGTACTTGTGGCGGACTAAGCTTGGCTGAGATTTCCGTATTCTGCGAGCTAAAAAAGACGAGCAATTCTTTCCCGGCCTTGGTAACGAACTGAATTAAAGATAAAATAGGTTAGGGAAAACAACCAGATGAAATGAAATTGCCTACCGTCTGGCCTGAATGTAGACGTTGTTGAAATACGTCGAATTGCGTCTTGTGGCTATCATCTGCAGAGGAATCGGGTACAACCCGAGCGCTGCCGAGGCCTGAGAAAGTGCTGACGATTCTGACTGCATCTTCTAATAGATAGAACGTTCCTGCTCGACCGTCCAGCGACTTGTCAGCGTATATATCGGTGAATGAAACGCCTTTCATGTTGTTGGAATCTTTCAACACAAGTGGAACGGGAGCATTCGTATTCAGAATGAGCTTGAATGTAGGAACAGATCTAACGATAGTTAGATCAAGAATCATCTGAAAATCATAGCACAAACTCGTTGACGCCGTTAGGTTCTTGAGCCGGTTCCTGTAACTTATACCTACTCAGGAGTGAGATGGCACTACTGAGGAAAAAAAAACAAGAAAGCCGCACATTGGTCCAAAGATAGTGTTGTCTTTTGTCGTCTTCCATGACGAGCTTGAAATGGACATCACCGAAGCCGAAGCCTGCACAGACGGGAACAGCTGCTCTTTGGCCTCTGCAAGACTAGGAAAATATATCATTCAAGCGAAATCTGGTTACACTCTACGACATTATCTCACCTCTTTCGAGCTGCCTCGTCTTCCACGGTCAGGGTAGCAGGCGAGGCTGCATCTTCGGTCGGAACATCATCAGCGAGAGTTTCCACTGAAATTACATCCGTGGGTTGAGGCGGCTGTTCGACATTCGCTTCATCTTCGAAGTCAGGCAACGCGTCTGCATCCGGCTTCAAACCTGCTATCTCCAACAATTCCTGGCCGGATGGAACTGGCAAAGGAGCAGGAGCAGGAGTGGACATAGGCTCCATCTGGTCAACTAGAGATGCAGTTGCTTGATGCTCGTGATCTGTCTCGCCCGCTGCATCTTCATCACTCAAGGATGTGATGGCAAAGTCGTGCTCTGGAAGATGAGACGGTGCTGGCGCATCTTCAATTGATTGTAACCCTTCCCTTACATCCTTTGCTCGCCCGAAGCGACCCTTCACGCTGGTTAGGCCGCCTTTCACAGCTGTCAACAGGGAGCTCCGGTTCTTGCTCCGGGGACCCACGGAACGTCCACCAGGAGCAGGTTTTGGTCGTGTCTTGTGGGATGCGTGACTACCACTTTCCTGAGATGAGCTCGAAGGCTGGCCAGAAATCAAGCGTGTCTTTGCGGGGATGGCAGCCCCTGAATTCTTGTCCATTAGCGGAGCAGGATCGATAAACTTGACCAAAGGATTAGCCGCCCGCGCACGGTGATGAGGTACCACTGGCTCAGCGGAAGACTCGAATCCTTCGTCGTTCCTTGATTGCGAAGGAGAATCGAAAAGAGGGTCAGGTGAGCTACGTCCCTCGTCGGCTGAAAGAATTACATCTTCAGTCAGTACTTGACTGACTTCAATGGTATCCTGGATATCGGGAGAGTAGCTGCGGAGGTCCTCGAACTCCACGATCGTCCCATTGACCTTGGGAGGTTCAACATGGGAGTTGGGGACATCCTGAGTATCAGGGTCATCGGGGCTTATCTGCATTAGCTCTCCTGCCACTTCTTCCACTTCTCCAAAGAGCTCCATGTCGAGCTCCCCTTCAGCGTCCGTATCGGTTAGCTTAGTTAGGGAAATCTGACGCGCGCCACGGGGGCCTGGTGACGAAGCGCGCCTTTGTTTCGCCAGTGATGATGACTTGGCCTTGCTTTTGGGTCCAAATGCCCTCACTTGTTGAGTCGAGGCATTACCAGCGATGCCAGGTTCTGACTCGCGCTTTCGCTTCGCCCTTGGCTCTCCCGTGGTTTTTTGACGTCTGCGCCGCTTCTTGGTGGTCAAGGGTTCATCATCGGAAGCATCATCTTGGAAGGTCTCAGAAGGTCCTTGTAGGTTGCCTCTACTAGACTTATTTTCAGGACGCGGACTTGCCCCTAACATATTGAACTCTTAGACATAAGCGCTCACTAGGGGTACACATGGCATACCAGGAAAGCCCGAAACATGAACCTCTTCGCCTGTCTCAAAAAGCAGTGGGTTCGTATGATCTCTGCCGCGGGTTAAAGCATGCGCCCAGAAAGTCTTGAGGAAATGCTTTGAGCCATAAGTAAAAGATCTTTCGGGTTCCCAACTGTGCATTAGATAAGTAAGGAAGCCACCCAGCAAGTAGAGTGACACCCTACGTGCTATCATCCCAGCTATACCCTTTCCACTGTGACGCGTCGGTTGAGCATAACGCGGCCCTCTTAAACGTTTTGTACCTACTTTGACATGATATTTCTATTTCGACCAAAAACTTAGCATACAGTGTAACGTTGCTTTGTCCTGAACTTACCCATATGATTTTCTTGCCCCGCTTCGCATCCACACGGGCCTTTGTCACAGACTCTGAACCACCATGAGTACGACCATAAGATAACTGCAAAAAACAGGCACTCGGAGACTCACCGACTTCGTATTCTGGGTCACTCATGGTGACATGAATAGAAAGATGACAGTACTACGCCTCGAGCAAGGTTTCACATTTTGGGTGTCGTACAATAATGTGGGAGAATATTTCCAATTGCAACTCCGAGCAGCATTACAAATTTATTGCGGTGACAGATAAGTGACGGAAGCAAAAGCTGCGTAGTATCTACAAACGAGTTTGATCACAACATTCATCGCAAAATCAAGAACATTTGAATCAAGTACACTATGATTAAACCAGGGCACGACAACAAGTACGTTAGCAAGCAAGAATGAAATACAGTAAGCAGGAAATAGTCAAGATACCAATAAGATCGTCGGGAGAATATCAAGTCTGTCAACGAGTGGGCAAGGTTAAAAGCCTTCCTGAAATGAGACAATCCTTCACCCATGGAACGTGAGCGAGTGTGACGTCGTCCTGAAGGTCTTCGGGAAAATCTGTGGCTTCCTTGACGATAACATAGTCATACGCGGGAAGATCTTTGGATGCAAATTTGACTTCAGTCACGGCTTCCACCCGAGAAGCTCCCATGCAAATCATAATCCAGGGAACGACTCGGCTCGCGTCTTGTGTGGCATCGGAACCACCCTGCGCGAGGAAATGAGTATCAACACAGCAAACAGCGATCTACTGCATACCTTTCTCCCCCCACGTGACGGTAAGGGCACGAGATCAGAGCCGAGGCACAGTATGGTCTTGCCAGAGAATAACTTGGATGCTACCGTATTTGACATGATATCAGTCAAGTGTTCTTTGCAGTTACCCCAGTCTAGGTCAACAAGTTGAGATACGCGAGCGCTCAATGTCTCTGAAAACCCAGCAGGAAGCAGTACGGGTTGCCAGTCCTACACATAACGGTTGTCAGCAGAAGATCGGGGAGACTCAAACCCAACGTACCGGTGATGTTTCTTTCTTTAGATAATCATCTCGTATCCACTCATTAGATAGACACGGTATCCCAAGAGCGAGAGCCACCAGAAATTTGGGTTTCTGGTTGTAATCGTCGGCCAGGAGGAAAACACGTTCCAAACCCTCGAACTCGGGCTTCGGCTTGAACTTGAAGTTTTCTTGGGAAGCTATCCAGCGTTTATTTGACTGGCTATGGGTACCCTCCATGGGAAAAATGCTTGACCAGTCGTCAATGACTGTGCCTCCATTGTGCTTGATAGCTAGCATCACGCTGTCCTTCATTTGCTCGGGGTACTTGTTGCGAACGGTAAGCGTCACAACGAAACCGGTCTTCGCGAATGGCTTCTTATGCTTGAACGAGGTGGCACTCATCAAGGACATCCCGGAAGGTGAGGGCGTAGCACGTAGAGGCTTCGGCCGAATGATTGTGACGATGGAATCTGCAGTGAGGGTGCGGTCTTTCCAACGAGACTGGACAGCTCTTGAGGCAATCCGGACGTCCGAAATGGCGTAATCTGAGCGTGTGGTGTCAGAACCGTCGTCAACTTCGACAGTGACGGATCCTGATTCCGTCTCACTAATATCTACCACAGTACCGCGAAGATTGCCGTGGCAAAGGATCACAGCATCTCCGACCCGCAGTTCGCACCGACGGAGCATAGCAACATCCACCTGGTCCTCGGTCTCATCGTCAAATTTGATGAGATATTTAGTACCGGTCTGTAACGAGTGGACGGTGCCTGCATAATAATGACCATCTTGCCTCCACAATGCGAATACGCGAGTGGCGGGCTGAGCTGGAAGGGCACGGCCTGTAGAAACAGTGTGGCGAAGCCGTTTTGCGACTCGGGTAGCGGGCGCAGGGGTGTTAGCGGTTTTACTACGAGTGGATGCCTTCGATGGGACACGAACAGGCTTGACGTCTTCAACGCGTCTCCGCTTCCGCGATGAAGGTGCTTTGATCTCAGCAGGAGCGGGACCAACGTCCATATAGTCGTCATCGTCAGCGAGTTCCGACTCTTCCTCCTCCTGTTTTTCTGCGTTCGGGATTGGATGTGTCTCGTCCCGACAGTCATCAGAGGCCTCAGTATCCGACGGGTGTTTACGCTTCTTTGCAGAGGATTCAACACGGGTACGAGTGCTCATGCGCGTAGGTGCTGGTGGCGCTTTCTCTTTCCCTTTCCCATTCTTGAAGGAGTAAGGGTCTACTTTAGGGGTAGCCACTCGCTCAGGCACCGAGGTTCGGTCCTGCTGGTCCTGCTCGGGAGCAGAACTAGGGATTTCTCCAGACTCTTCTTTCGCTTTCTTCTTCGCACGAGCTGAACTCTTCGGCTTCGCTGTGGAAGGCTTTACCTGTGGTTTCACAGACTGAGGGTGACCCTGGTTAAGACAAGCGACAAGAAACAAGGAAAGACCAGTCACCTTCTTGACCAGCACAGGGGACGGAGGAATAGATGGCATCATCGAGGATCGCGTTTTACCCGAAGCTGGCACTGCCGCCGACTTTGCAGCTGACTTGACCTGCAAAAGAGTAGCTAGAGGAACATCGCCCTCCGGATCTTGGCTGCTTTCATGTACCTCCACAGAGTCTGCAACAATTTCTCCTGAGCTAAGTTCTGACATAGGACTAAGAGGACGAAAAGGGCGCTTTGTAGGACTCTCGTTAAGCCTAATGTCTCTTGTGGGTGTGGCGGCGCTCGGTACAGGTGGTTCAGAGTCGGGTACGATGTCAAGGTTATCATATTCGGGTTGCGGTAACCGAGGGCGATAAAAAGGTGCCTGTCTGACTGGCGGAGGTGCGCCGTTGTCCTCAGAAAGTAAGTCTGAAGGGTGTATCGCTACAAAGCCTGATGGCTGGGTCTCGGCATGATCATTTGGTGTCTGAACAGGTTCAAACGGCTGCATGGTTGCTCTGTCGCTCACGGGGGGCGGAGGCGCACCGGCGCCTTTGCCTGCAAACTGTCGAAGTCTGCGCTCCCGTTGTTCTGGGCGGATTAAAGACAGGAGACTACGCGGACCTGGCGAGGAAGTCGTTCCAAGAGTGGCACGAGCACTTCTGGAACGCAAGGTAGGCGCATATAAATCTTCCGCGGCTGCGCTTGTAGCAGTATCGTCCAGTGGTGTTGATGGTTGAGTGGGAGCAAACTGTTCAGGAATTGCCGCAAGTTTTTTCTCCTCTGAAAGCTCATCTTCTGCTACAATAAGTGAAGACTGTGATGCATTGGCCTGGACCCCGTATCGATTGCGTTGTGCCTCGAGGGATTCGAGCGAGTCCTCTACATCAAACGGAAAGTGATGAGGTTGGAAGAAATGGATTAAACAAAGGGCCTCACCATCATTCAACAACTGCGATGCGTCGGGATGGGGAAAGCTTGTGTTCTGGGAGGAGCCTTCAGAACCACTCGAGTGCGAAGGAGTACCTGCCACAAGGACGCTGCCACTGGCTTCGCTGGCTTTCGATTGCTCATAAGCGCGCCGTATTTTATTCATCCATGAATCACCGTCCTCCTCCTGCGACTTGGATGAATGGTCCATGAGATCATCCATGGCAAGATCTGTTGTAGTAGTCCGTCCTAGGTCAGAGAGTGGCACGTCAAAAACCTGAGTAGCCTGCGCTATGTAATTTGCTGCAGGATCTTGTGATACTGCGCCACCGAAGGAATCTTGCGAGCAAAGGGAAGGAGATCTCTGGCGTCGGCTGGGTGCCACAGGGAGGGATTTGGTAGGTTGGAGAAGTGGCTGAGCAAGCTTTGCTGAACGAGGAGACTGAAAGGAAACAGACTTTGGGACTAAAAGGTAACAAGGACGTTACGATCTTAAAGCAAAGAGCACAAAGGTTGATTGGTGGCTCACCATTCGCCATTCCAATACCAGATGCTGTACGTGAATCAGGGTGGCTCAAAGAATCGGCATGGGAACCCTTTACATTGGCCGGTTTGGCAGAAACTGCTTGCGGGGACGACGAGCGAGTACGCGCAACGTTTTCGTGCTTATTCTTATTTGAGGCTGGAGTGTTTTCTTTCTGGGATCCTTCCTCGATTATTTCCTCCTCCCTGTGCAAAACTTGCGGCTGCGTCTGTGTTGGGGCGAGCCAGTTGAGCTGGTAGCGGGATGTTGAACCTCGAGCAGGCGGGATCATCATGGAATCAATAGAAAAATTTGTACTGAGATTCCTGTCTTGCTCGCATTCGTGATTCAAACCCCACTCATCGCTATGCTCCGCAAATGGTTTTTGTTTCGTAAGTGCATGCTGTAGGAGCTGGGTCGGTTGCGACTCTACCGAATCACTAAACGGGTAAACTTTAATTGGAAAGTCCCGCTCAGCACACAATCGACGCGCCTGTGATCGAAGATGTCCATATGACCTTTGCGTTACGCTGAGTGGGTATTTGTTGGCTGGAGTCGCGTAGATACTCTGCCGCTGAGCTGATCAACAAATCTACGAAAATTCCTTATATAAAATTAGGGTGCATTCACAAACTGGGGTGCGACAGGAAAAATGAACCAGACCTGCGCCTGGACTCTGGAATCCAAATGTACAGTCAACTAGCTCAGGGTCCATTAGAAGTGATTGAATGGGCACTGCCACTGATCCATTAGCTAAGCACGATTCAGCTACGTAAAACCATGCCTGTAAAGGCCGCCATCCGATTATCTATTTCGTACTATCATCCTACTAGTAGTTACGAACATTGGTTAACGTGAAGATCTGCTCCAGACATTCTTTTATAATCCTATTCGAACGAAGCAGCATCGCATCGCTGCCGAACGAAGGGTCTTACGTAAGAAATAAATGCACGTGCTCTCGACGCGTTAATCTGATGGTGGTTGATTTTCTTGTTCTACATCTTCTCCGTATTTTAGTTCGTGCCAACCTATCTCTTCGCATTCGTTCCTTTAGACCTCTGCGCTGGCGCTGCAATGTACCAGATAGACAAAACGAAAAAGGGTCGTTCTTTATCTTCCGCCGCTCGAACACTTCTCTCTGTGGATGACTCAGATGCCGCCGCCTTAATGCCTGCTATCAGCGCAGAAAAAATATCCACCACTAAAACGACTTCCAAGAAAGCGTTTTCTAAGACAAAAGATAAAGCAAAGGCGACCTCCATCAGGCCCGTTCGTGTTGCGGACTACGACTCCCAGGAGATTACGAACGTACCGAATCCTGTACCAGACACTGGCCTTCCTCCTCCCAGCGATAATATAGTATATTTCACGCCGCCGCCAATTACTGCATCTCCTTCGGTAAGCCATCAGTCCCAGGAGTATCACGCTGCAGCGACCACTGGAAAGTCCATCAGCGCGAGTTCTGTGTCAACCTTCACCCCATTGCCACCACTACTCTCTCTTGAGCCTACACAAACCTCGGACAATGTGCATGCTATCGTAATAACGTCTATTCCTTCTCGGACGAGTTCAACTCAGTCCCACAATGCAGTTCAATCAGCCCAAGTCCAACATCCCTCGCCATTGCACCAAATCTCAAAACCGGCAATCATTGCACTCTCTGTTGTTGGAGGTGTCGTATTACTGGGGGTATTCGTCGTGATAAGGCTTTTGAGACGTCCCCGCCGCCGCAAGTGTCCAACACCCTCTCTCCCCATTCTCCAGGATGGTGCCTTCCCAGACCACTTTGAGAGCGAAGGATCCGGATCTCCGGTTTTTGGAGGCAAGGAACGATTCTCGCCCTCGCTGAGGGGTGCACGAGGAAATACTGGGCTCTGGACATGGACTCAGTATCACTCCGGAATTCCAAAGCCGGCGCCAACTGTTACAGTCTCAAAGTCAACGTCAGGCGAATCCGTGAAAGGATCAGGCAGTCAAGAGAACTTGCTTGCCGAGAAAAGGACCTCTTTTGGTGGGCAAGACCAATACCCTTTCACTGGGCAAGGCAACTTTGGACAAAGGACCCAACCGCCTCTGCAGCCTATCCAGAATGCAATAACTCGCGCGGTCTCTCGGCTCTCCACTGTCTCTATGTCTCTTTACCCGAACTCGCCGGCCAACACTACATACTATGGCGCGACGAACGTAGGTGTAGCCATAGAGAGCACAGCGCCTCTGACAGGCGATGGACAAACTATGACACGTGCAAAGGACAGAGTTGCGGCAGGACGCGCGCGCAATAGCATGGTCGCTCCTCCTAACGCCAAGGATGCCTCCTCGCTGCGACGCTCCCAAAGCTATGCCTATGGTGGAATGGATACTACCCCAACCTCACCTAGATCCGGGAGAAGCACGCAGAACGTGGGCCGTACACGCATCAAATCAACATACTACACGCCTGGTTCATATCCTCGCGCCTCTGCAGCTCCTTCGGCATGGTCAAAAGACCGTGGACAGCAAGATGGCCCCCACCCTGATCGCACTCATGATTTACAACGTTCTGAGTCTCATCGAGGCCGTGAGACACAGGCGCTAACCTGTGCTCTTGGACTAGCTTCGCCTGTCCCGCCATCTCCACATCCAACGCTGTACCCGGACGATTCCATGAGTGTGATCGGAGAAGGAAAGAAGGTCACCGTGACAGGCACGCGCAGTCACAAAAAACCAGTTCCCAAAGCTATGCTCGATTACGACAAGTCATCTTCACCTGACTCTGCAGCGCTTGGAAGTTTGATGATGGTGGACTTCGCGGCGTCAAAGTCGACTGCATCACTGGTAAACATACGTCCGTGCGAAGCGGCTAGGGAGACGCGTGAGGCGCAATCCCAGGGAGTGCAGTGTTCCGGGGGGTCCGGCCAACCAAAGACGAGCTCGAAGAAGAGAGTGGAGGACAGACCACCGCGTGTTCCATCACCTCCACCGTTGCCATCACTTGCACAGATGGCACTTGCTCACGCGAACCCTGAAGCATACGCTGACTACCACAGCCCGACATACAGCATCTATGGGTTGTATGATGGGGATAGGAAAAGTCGCGGAACATCATTTGGATGCTGATTTAGATTGATTCGGGCACAAACTATACGACATACTGTCACCTACTGTAGTTTTGTATGAGATTGTAACTTGGCAAGGTCGACTTACTACGTTTGTGGTCAAGTGCCACTTTCGAGCTTGGCGCTCTTATCATTTGAATCGATCACGTTACAGGAACTGTTCTCGGCAAGTCAACCATTGAAAGCTGTACATGTGATATGCGGGAGTTGTTATGTTAGATTCGTGAGAGGGTGTTTATAGCAAGTTCTTCCTTCTGTGTTACTCCTTCCTACTGCGGAAAAGAAATTCCAACCAACTGCGCGAAGGAAAAAAAAAACAGCCTAACAGCTGCGGACGACCCAAAGCCAAGCCAGAACTAGACTGAACTTGGAGCACGTTGGAAGTCGGGAATACTACTAGTACTACGCCTTTTCACATACCACTAGTCTGCGATACCCCTTTGCACCTTTCCCTTTCGAATACCCCCCATCATATCTCTCATGTCCCAGCTCGCCCTCCCTGCGCACCAAGAAAATCATAGCCTTAAAGGCGACGACGACGACGATATCGAGTATGAAGAGCTCGGACTGCTGCCTGCAGATATCCCGCCTGTCCCCTCCTTTCGTGGCATTCCATTGAAATACATATCGTGAGTGTCGCATCTTTCTGTTGCGACGTCTAAGCCTGGCATGTTCCTGCCATGTTTTCTTGTCTTGAACCGTGGGCGACCTGACTGACAACTCATGTCTACAGACTCGTGACATTGGCGGTTCAGAATTCTCTTTTAACATTAATAATGCACTATTCACGCGTGTCCATTCCTCCATCCCAGTCCTACTCTGCCCCGACCGCCGTTCTTCTCAACGAGCTTCTCAAAGGGTTCATATCACTCGCCATCGCTTTCGCCCGTATAAACCGTGTCACGCCTTACACATCCGACACCCCACAGCTACCACTCACTGCCAGCCGCTTCTGGCATCCTACAAAGGTTCTTCTGCGCGTCCGACGACTAGGCAGAGAAGTCTTCTCGCCGGATTGCTGGAAGTTGTCGATACCCGCCATCCTATATGGTACGTACTCCGCGCTGCACACGAGCTGCTCTCATTAATCTCGCTCCGTGGGTTTCAGTCATTCAGAATAATCTGCAGTATGTTGCTGCCACCAATTTGGAAGCGGCCACTTTCCAAGTCAGTTATCAAATGAAAATACTTTCCACGGCGGCCTTTTCAGTCATACTTCTGCGAAAGCAGTTAAGTGCCAGCCAATGGCTAGCGCTACTTTTCCTTGCCATTGGAGTTGGCGTGGTGCAAATACAGACTGGTGTGAGCGACACGAGCAAGGCGTCCTCGCTGTTGTTCCATGGGACTTCGATGAACGCCCTTAAGGGGTTCCTCGCGGTCTTTGCCGCATGTTTCACATCCGGCCTCGCAGGTGTCTATTTCGAAATGGTTCTCAAAAATTCTCAGTCCGATCTCTGGATCCGCAACGTGCAACTCTCTGCATTCTCCCTCCTCCCTGCACTTATTCCCATCATCCTCTCACGACCATCTGAAACGGGACTCCTCAGTTCCCTGTTTGAGAACTTTGGCGCCTGGGCGTGGGCCACGGTTGCCATCCAAGTGTTTGGTGGCCTGGTCACTGCCATGGTCATCAAGTATTCTGACAACATCCTCAAGGGCTTCGCCACGAGTTTGAGCATCGTGATCTCATTCCTGGCGTCAGTCGCACTCTTCGACTTCCAGATGACGTTCACGTTCATCCTTGGCTCTGTTATCGTCCTTATCGCAACATGGCTGTACAACCAGCCCGGGCGCAACCCTAGTACACCAAGACTAGTTTACGTGGGCAAGAACTGAGCGTCAAAGGATGATAGTGCACATTGGGACATGCCACGTTTCCGAGCTGGACTCTTTCAGCCCGTTATCGTTATTCCGAGAGTGCTCGGAACGCCTTGTCTTCGACCACTTATTTATACCGATATATAAGGACGGTCACTCTTGTTACATTCGGACATGCATATTTTGTTGGACGCTTAAGTTACGGTACACCCACTATTCCGTGTTCCCATCATCACGTTGTCTTAATTTGATTACGCGACGGTAGTCGGCCTACGATACACAATGTGATATACAATACAATCAATACTCCATGGAAGCTTTCTCGTGGTTTGTGTGATGCTCTTGCTAGAGATCTCGAAAGCGATGCGGAGTATGACGTACAACATGGACAGGCCAACAGGTAGATAAGATGAGTAAATACAACTTCATGCTCTCTGCTCCAAGCCTCTCTTGAGAGCTGCAAAGAAAACCTTGTCAGCCAAAGAGAGCTATGGTGTCACACGTGTACCCACCATCACAGGTATCTTTGGCATCACCAAATAGCATTTTCGTGTTTGGCATATAGAACATGGGGTTCGGGACGTCAGCTGCAGAAACGTAAACCGACCAATCAGCAATGTGAGGTTTATCACGCACCATAACCACTGGACATTCCTCTCTTCATTACAATAACCTGTTTGCTCTTCCATGCATGCAAAACAGGCATACCAGCAATCGGAGAACCAGGTTCAAGGGAGATAGGGTTTACAGTATCATTGGCGCCGATGACGAGCGTCACATCAGTCTCGTTGAAATCATCGTTGATCTCGTCCATCTCCAAGACGATATCATAGGGCACAGAGGCCTCGGCCAGCAAGACGTTGCACTGGCCGGGCATGCGACCAGCGACAGGGTGAATAGCGAAGCGCACTTTGACACCCTTCGCTCTCAGCATAGCGCATATTTCTGCTATAGGATATTGAGCCTTAGCAACGGCCATGCCATACCCAACAACCTGGACCAAATTAGGGGTGTATCAAACTGGCTCATCAAGGCTTACCAAGATCACACTCTCGGAATTGGCAAGAGCCTCTACCGTGTCCTCGATGTTCGTCTTCGTGACAGTGCCTTCAATTTGAGTGGCCTCACTCGGTGCAACAGTGCCAATGCCACCAAACAGAACGTTTATTATTGATCTGTTCATTGCCACACACTGCGAGATATTGTTTGAGCTACTCTAAATCTGGGGGGCATATGACACGCACCATGATGTATGATAGGATCGTACCACTGACACCGATCAGCGAACCCACTGTCGTAAGGAGAGGGTTGTCCAGCATGAAGCCTATCCAAAGGTCAAACACATGCTTAAAGCTCGGCTCTGGGACTCACCTTCTGCGACTAGCGCGAACCCTGAATAGGCGTTCAAGACAGTGATGACAACAGCTTCAAACAACATGTCAGAAACTGACCAATAGTACTTGGAATCGTACATACGCATGTCGGCACCACCGATAGCAGCTGTCGTCGTAAAGCCCTTGATGAAACTGAGAACTGTACTAGCTCCGAGATACCCTGCAGCAACCAAGGGCACTGTTGGCGCAGCCGTGACAAAGGCAGCCATGGTCAATACATTCGCTCCGAGTAAACTAGAGTTAATGATGTGTTTTCCAGGCATCATCAACGGCCTCGAGCCCATTTTTCCAGCAAGCTTCAAGAACGCGACAATGGAGCCAGTGAAGGTGATACCACCAATGACAACCCCGAGATAGGCAGTGACTAGGTGTAGCGTAGAGAGATGAGACGGGTCAGCAAGGACACTGCCGATGGAAGTGAGGACGGCAGCAAGACCGACAACAGAGTGCAAAGCAGCTACCATCTGTGGAAGCTCGGTGGCCGTGATACGGCGACCAATGATGGTACCGATGGTACCTCCAATAGTAGCAACACCAGCAAATTGGGCAAGCAGGGCAGGGGGAAAGCCGACCGCCAGAAGTGAGGAAAGAATGCCCGATCCGACACCAAGTATTCCCAGTGCATTCCCTTGTCGTGCAGTTGCCTGAGATCCCAACCCAGATAGAGAAGCTGTAGGCCATACATAGCCTATTAGATTCGTACTCTCCAAATGACAAAATGTGCTTACCAATACAAAGCATGCTGCTTGTCAGGTAACCTGCCTGTACAAGGCCGGCCATACCAGTGCTGGCAGCAGCCAAGAAACCACCGGTAAATACGACAGCTGGGATACCGTACAACCAAGAGTATTCAGGAGGATCCGTTGGTCCTGTTACGTCATGTTTAAGTGCAGTAGCAGACGAGATCAAAGCTCGACTCACTCTTGAACATATCAAGCATCCGCTTTGTTATGACGAAACCACCGGCGACATTGACACTGGCGAGGAGCACGGAGAGTGCGCCAAATACCTGAGGAATGGTTTCTGGAAGATATCCTCCTCCCATGACGAACAGACCACCAACACCAACCATACCTTTGAAACACTCAGTTCAATTTCATACCAAAAGAGAAGGTAGATACCAGATATAGCATTGGTAACGGACATCAGGGGAGAGTGCAGAGCTGGTGCGACACCCCAGACGACTCGGTATCCGACAAGACCTGCAAGGCCAAACGTGAAGAAGTTGCTCATGAAGGCGGCGCCGGTCATCTTGCCGAGAGCCACTGCGGAACCCATTCCAGCCGCGACTGTAGCTATCTCGCGGGTAGCCTTTTGCCAGGGAGTGATGGCCAGGGTCTCTGACTTCTCCTCAACCTTGGGAGTGGGACGCGCAGCAGGAGGAGGAGCAGGTCGGGGCGCAGGAGGGAGGATGGCACCTTGGTGGACAACGATAGAACCACGAACGACTTCATCAGTAAGATCAATATTGAAGGCGTTGTTCTCTCCTATAGACAACAAAAACTTGGTGATGTTATTCGAATACAGAGTAGACGACTGCGTTGGAAGTCGTGAAGGAAGGTCAGTGTAACCTTGGTCCTTTGAGATGTTATTTATCACGCAAAGCAGATAGCATACCTATGATCGTCACGCCGTTCTTGACTACGAGTTTTCCAGGAACCGTCGCTTCGCAGTTACCACCGGCTTCAGCAGCCATCTAAGTATAACAGCCATCAATAGTGAAATTTTGATTCTTTGCCAAAGGTAACTCACATCCACAATAACCGAACCCTGCTTCATAGCTGCAATCATCTAAGACAACGGTCAGATACGTCACAGATCCTCTGGTGGATACTTGCATAATCGAGAATCAGTTTGGGTGCAGGTTTGCCAGGAA